TAAATCAAATGTCTGTCAGAGCTTAAACTGATTTTTTTTTTTTTTTTTTTTTCCTCAGAATTTTGGTATGTATAAAGTAGGATTAATGGGCTGGTTGTCTTGTAGGTTGTTTTTGTTCTTACCCTCAAGATACTTGTTTATAAATACGAGTTGTGTAAAATGAGGTTTTTGTTAATGCATTCAAATGGAGAACTGCAGAGTCCTATCCAGAGTTTGTGACTTCTGCATTATACTTGTCAGCTGTAGCTTTTTAAAGGGAAACCACCCTAATTGATCTTACTTTCAACCAAAGTCCCATTTTAAATTTGGGACTATTTCTGTTCTTTCTTCCTGGCATAATGGGGAAAAAAGTAAAATGTTGGCTCATCAGTTGTCTTTATCCCACTTACAGAAATGTGAACAATGACTATTTGACATTTTTAAAATAAGCCCTGATTTTTCTACAATTTAAGTGCTTCACTCTTGTACTGAATTTTTTTTTTGGTTGAAATGAGTTTAGGTTTTTAACACTGCTATGAACTTAAAGAGCATGACACTAGTCATTGGTACATGCGATGTATAACAAAAGGCACTGACGATTGATAAAGGGTTTAGAAGTGGTACACAAATCCTTATGCTGTACTGCACCACACAGCTGGTAATCCTCTACATTGTATATTGTACAACTGATTTGTCAGGCTGCCTCACCTCTAACATACAACCTTTAAATTGCTAGTACAGTTTGTATAACAACTTAGACACTGTTAACTTGGATTGTTCGGTGATGTGTACCCAAATCTATTTTTGAGTAGTATTAAAATGTACATGTCACTAAAATATGAAGACTTTTTTTTTTTTTCTGAAACATGGTACCAATCAGTCAATGCAGTGTCTAGTGACAGGAAAAAACTGTTGCTTACAGGGTTCAAAAGCACAGACCTGTTTTTGATTCTGGAAGAGAAGTTTAAGTTGGTACAGTTACTTGTTGCTGCTAAACATACACTAATTAAAAATACGACCACTCTTACAGACCATGATACTGTCTTGCCATACAGCTTTTGTTTGGTCTCATAAATTGATAATGCAATACGTAGACAGCTTTTTATAAAGCTTTACATCTTTTCTAAGAAATCAAAATTTGGGTGAAGATAGTTCTAAACATTTAATGCGAAAGGAAAAGGTTGTTTTGAAGAAATTTGTTACATACTTATTTCATATTAGATCCCTGAGGCTGCCATTGTACAATATACAGCACTGATTTAATAAATGCTGAATAAATAAGTAAATGGGTAACCTCAAGTATAGTGGTACAAATACTAATAGGTACGGCATAATAAATATGCAATCTTTTTGAATCTCTTAGTTTACAGCAACTAATTTATTCAGTATTGTGCTGGAAGAACATTTTCAGATGATGTAAAACATATCACTATATATACTACCTTCCAGCTACCCGTTTATGCTGCTGTATAGTACAAAAATACCAATGATAGAACAATGTTTGTCCTGTAAATTTAATTTGATATTGGACAGTTATTGTCTGTACAAACTAAAACATATATGGTTGAAACTGTTCATTATATTTGCTATTTCTGCTTCACAGATCTGTTTTAAAGTCGAGCTGATTGATCTGGCTTTGTCTTCCATTGTAAATATTGTTATGTTGTTTTCTTTGTAAAACACATCGCGTTTGCGGTTTTGGGAGACTGGCTTGAAGCTCTGTATAGTGTTTATATTTATCTGACTTGGCTTTCCATAGAGCTACTTGCAGTAAATACGTGTTCATGTAGCTCTGTGTCTGGGTTTTATTTTTAAACAAACTTGTGTTTTGTTTTGTTTTGTTTTTTTTCTGTCAGAAGTGCATTTCTTCCTGCTGTGGCTGCTCTCTTAAAGTGGTTTTGTTGCCCTGTGTGCCTAAAGATTTGGAGAAGCTTTTAGCGTATTTCAGGGGAGTGATTCCCAGTCTGTCCAATTTTTTCTGCCACTCAGTGGAAAAGGTGACATACAGCAAAATACCCAGAAGTCATCTTTGTCATAGATTCATAGTGCTGGTAAACAACTGAGTTTTTGTGTGGGGGTGAAAAAAAAAATATCAGTGTCTGATACCTTCCTTTTCTGCTTTAAATGCAGAAGACATTTTTTTTTATAACTTTGTGTGTGACTGGCTATGGACTTTCCATGATCAAAAAGTACTAGTCCTGGAAGGAATTTTTAGCAGAGAATAAGTATGGCATGCCATCGTAAATTTTGTAGGAATACTTTGCTTTGATACATGTTAAATAAGATGTTGGCACGTAAAACCAAAACCTATATAGATATCATCATCATTTCAGGTGATGCACCACCCACTTGTAAAAAACAACTGAAGTTGGAAAATATCAACAAAAAGTAGTGCTTTTTCAAATTCCTTACTGACGTGAAGGATATGTCAAGAATTCTGTATAGAAAGAGGTTTTTATCCATAGGTGCTGATTACTGTGAAATGTCTTGGATTAGATTTTTCTCTCTGATTTAATTCTTGCCCTGTTACTCAGAATAATGCATTAAAATACCTCCCTGTAAAAGTCAGGTTTGCTGTAAGAATAGGGTTTTCCTCAAATAAACCAGCCCCCTTACTCAGGGCCTCACTTTATAGCATGTAGCTGGTATTGGGAAGAAAAAGAAAACAGTGCTTCTCATACATGGCAGAAACAGCCCTACCAGCAGTAAACAAACAGTGAAAATTATCCAAACACTGTCAAGGCTGTTGCAACAGTCTCACAATAACTGCTTTAAGAGACCTTTGCCTGAATGTCTCATTGGATCTGAAATGGGCTGCTTGAGGGGCTGGTTTTGGGGGGGTGGGGTGGATGACATAGTTCTGCACTAATTTTTCAAACCCCTCTGGGTGAATCATTGACAGAACTGTCTTGCTTCTGAAGCATGGTGAAAGCTCTCAATTAAAACCAGAAGGCAAGTTAGACTTCCTATCTGAATTTGAAGACAGGCACTAGAATACATATTAAAAGTCTTTGTTTTGAGGTATATTGGCCAATTTTAATGGATCTCACGTCTTGCTGAGCTGGTACTGGAAGTAATCAAATAACTGGGAAATAGAGGTTCCTAGGAAGGAAGAAGGACCTTTTCAGAACTACCAGCTAACAATACAATTTGTATTGCATTTTTTCATCCCTGCATCCTCTTTTGGCTATAGCAAGAGCGTTCCCTCAAATACAAAGACATTTCTCCCCTCACTTTTCCAAGGAGGGTTGCAAAGTGAGAACAGGAGCACTGAGCTTGCTATCTAGATCTGGGAGGCAAGAACCCCAAAAAACCCCACACCAACCTCCTTTTCTTTGATTTTCCTTCTGAGCTATTGAATAAATTTAAAACTTCAAGTGTCTTGGTTATAGGAACCTGACTGTCAGGAAACGCAGCTAGGTGGGCACTGAAGCTGCTTGTCAGTACCGTGGCCTCAGCCCCGGTTCTGTGTTCCACCCTGGGGCTACACCAACTACCTTTACTCAAGACAGCAGTTTGTCTGCTTTACTAACCAGTTACTCTTCACCTTGCTGCCAGCTGAGGCTGTTCTTAGGCAGTGGTTACCTGTCTGCTACAAATGGGTTGAATTAGTTAATAATCTTTCTTTCAAAAGCTAATAGTTTCAGATATGTATCCTATATCTTAGATGTGGAACACCCTCACTATTCCCCTGAGCTAAGCACTGCTCTTGCCTTTCCTTAGCAATAGTGTCTTGCTTTTAATTTTTTGGCTAGATTTATTCCAGTCTCTTGCATGATTTTCAGCTTATGCTTCTAGTGGAAATAGTTACAGCAGCAGAAGTATTACGTGTCCAGCAACAGTGCTGGTTTGTCTAAAGCATAATTTTTCTGGAGAGGACCTGTTAAAAACATGTAATGCTGCTCACAGCAGTACAGTCCTACATCTGGTGAAACTATCTTCCCACTGGTGGCTCCAGGATGGCACTCTGTACACTTCAGACAGTACACTGACTACAAAATACTTCAGCTACATATCAATGTATATAGAAAATAATTGTAGAAGATTAAGTTTTTAAACTCAAGCATCTGTTTGATTGCAAAATCAATATATCACCTTTTCAAATTCTAAAACTACTTTTTAAATTAGGTACTTTCACCACCCTTTGATGTGAGAAATCCTTGCTGTAGGCAGGCTGACCTTTAGAATAGAAGACAAAATACTGCAAGCTTAATTGCTTCTGAAGCACAGAGTTTGCATGTAGTATAGTTTATAATATAGAAACGTTGCTGCACTGCCCTGTGCGCCCACTGTGGTTTAGAGGTTGTACTTTGCAGAATTGTTGCAGAAGTTCAGATTCATTTATAGGGTGAGATTTAAGGTTGAAGGAAGCTTTTTCCTTCTAGTCAGGGATTATAATAGGACTTAATAGAGTGAAGGAAGATACTGAAAAGTCGGTCTTAAGCAGAACTTTGTTCTTTGGTACTAAAACAGTGTAAATCCAAGTTATGCATAACTATGCTGGGTTTTGGATTTACAAACTAGTATTCCTTTAGAAAGCTGCATTTTTTCACTACTCAGCCCAGTTGTGATTGACAGTACACCATCCGCAGCAAGCTTTCAAGAACACAGGGTAGTGAGCAAAGAAAGGTGATGCACTCCCCTTCTAGCAAGCCTTTCTTAAAGTCACTGCTGCATGCTGGCACTTCAGGAACTCAGCCGTTTCTGTTCTAGCTTTCTTCCACAGCTGGATGGTGCCCTCGAGTGGTTGAAGTGTGCAACTTAGCCCTGTAAAACTTAAAATACAATTGAGTTCTCTTCCAGGGTTCCTGCTCAAGATTAACTAAAATAGACTAACTCTACACGATTAGTTATGAGAACAAAAGCTTTAGTTAAAACAGACTTCAGGAAAAAGAGCCTTAACTGTGGATGAAGAAGTGGTGCTCTGAGCCAGATTACGTTTAGGTTATGTTCAAAACTAGTTTAAGGCTCTAAAGTTCAAAACAGTTTCTCATTACTTTAATAACAAATCTGCAAACACAAGCTTTTACCTGTAGTTTAATATTTATATACTGATGGATAGCACCTAGAGGCCCCAACCAACATTTGAGCCCCTTCAGCGTCTCTGCCCCAAAGAGCTTACAGTCTAAGCAGTCAAGAAGTAGGAGAAAATAACCACCATGCTTTCTTTTATAGATCAGTAACTCCAGTCAAACACAGGTCAAGTGATTTACCTGCTCTAAGGCACAGAATGTGTGGTGGGAATTAAACCAACATCTCTTGAATCTCTGCTGCAGGTCTCAGTTAAAAGATGCTCCTTCCTCTCTAGACCATTTTTCTTAATAAAAATTAGCCCATTTGGAAATCTCAGCTTGAAGCTGATTAAGATTCAGGACTGTTCTCCAGGTCAGGGTGAGAGCTGCAGGAATAGAACAGAGAATGTATCTGTCAGAAGCATAGCTACTTCACATACTTTCATTTTCTGTGGTCACCTCACTGGTTTGGGACCTAAAGCTGCCACATGATGAGCTGTCTGGGGGGCTATCTACCTTAGACTGGAATGGTATCTCCTGTCCTTTCAATTCAGTGGGCTTTGTTGTATGTGCTGTGAGAAAAGGACACATCTTAGTAGCAGCACTGGTAACGCACTACTGGAACAAACCTGTTTTGCCCTTTCCCAGGTCCACGTACAAACACTTCTGGGTGGTGAGAGCAAGACAGGGGGTGGTGGTAGGGAAGGCTGGGAGAGCTCTTTCCTTTGGGAGCTCCTTGACCTTAGCACCCATTCATCTGCTTTTTTGGGGCTAGGGAAAGGCTGCTGTGTTCATTGTGGGCTTCTGAGGAGCCAGCAGTAATACAGGGGCTGGTGTTTACAAGAAGAGACTTACTATTTTGTTTCAGCTTTGGTAACAAGTTCTTGACTTGGAGGTAGCAGCAGGTTCAGTTTATTTCTATATGCATCAGTAAATCAAAATAAAATGAGTTGAAGGATGCACATTGCTGACTTGCCCACTCTCTACCAACATCTATAACTGCAGCTAATTGAAAAAAAGACAAAGCTATTAATATTTTGCACTTTAAACTAAAGAACTTCAGTTTCATACTTAGTTGAAAGCTTTTGAAATCAGCACCAATCACATTGTATAAATCACTGCCACCTGGTCAGTCACCAGTCCTATGTCTTTTGCCAAATGTGCATAAAACAAGGAGATTTCTGATGTTCCATGTTTACAATAACTGAAAGGTAAGAATGAATAGCCATTAGCAGATACATTACTTAACAGTAGTCAATAAACAAATACACTTCACCTGTATAAAGCATTATGTTAATTCACAAGTTAAGTTGTATTGATAGTTGAGGTGGCAATATACAATGAAAATATTAAAGTATCATCACTTGAAAAATAGTCCTGCTTTGTCAGGGAGCTCTGTTTATACAGAAGGGTAAATGAAACAGCACTGACCAGAGAAGCTGAACAGTCATGCATACAAAAAGCGATCACTTTTCAGCTATTGCACAATTAGTGACACTCTAAGACATACACAGTAGGATTCTTAGAAAATGACATCAGAAAGACTGCATGCACCATCTTTCAAGGCCTTATGTGAACTATACGTACACCAGAGTCGCTGTATACTGTAAATACATTGTGGATGTGTATAAATTCACATAAGATTCATTTGTAAATAGGAAAGTTTCCATCAGCTTATGCTTTATTTTATTCACAAGGCTTCTTAGCGTGTACACTATTTTGGATAAAATGCAAGATATCACTTCAGAGTAGAGGTTTCATGTAAGCATAATCTTAAATGCTTTGGTAACTGGATATTCCCAAGGAACAGGTTTTGTTAAACCAAACTGATTACTAAAACGTGAATGTGACTTTTATTCTGAAAAGGATATAGAATATGGCTAATAATTTCACATATTTTCACAAGATAAAAAAAAAAAACCAACTTTTCAAGTGGATTGGGATGTGTAAGCACAAATAAAACCACTGATAGCATGGTGTACAACAGTTAAAACCCTGATCAAAATGACTTCAGAGTAATTGCGCACTTGCCAAATATATCAGCTTGAGCAACTGAGGAAGGAAATGAAATATTAAGTGAAGAAGTTGGTGTAAGGGGTAAATTCTCTCTATACCACAAGTTACATAATAAAATACTGCCGTATCTTTTCATTTTAGACATAAGCATTTTTATATCAGTCTGGTTTGTTCCTAAATGACTGAAAGTTTCAACTAAAAAGGTGTTTACACAATATACACATTTCATTACTTACAAAGAGAAATAAGCTTAAAATTTCATATTAAAAACCTGGGATACAGTAAGGTTAGTAGCACCATGAAAAATGTTTTTCAAAACTGCAGTCTTGTTATTTTAAACATACTCAGTGCGTCGTGTTTTTCTTTATTCTCTTGGTTACATCAAAAAGGTGCCATTTTGGTACAGGGAGAGAAATTAAAAATTTCATCTTCTGATCCTTTGTGAACCTCAAGTGTTCTCTGTTTCCAAGAGGTCAATTCTTTCATCTTAGTTCTGTTGTCAAATATGTACCGAACAACCCTTCGTTTGGCACATCAGTGAGGTACACTTGAATTTGTATGGTTAAAACAGTTCGGATTTGTTTCTTCTTTTCTTTCTGCACAGTAGCACCATTGTTGCAGCTGGAAGACAGTGCATCTTAGGAATTTTCAACTGTTTTATAAAACAGTCTCCAAGACGTTACGTCTTCTTCATACAAACTTGACAACGACTAATACGCGTCCTCAAGTCTCCAGCTTTCAGTGTCTCTGACTGAGGTTTACTGGTTGACAGACACAAAGGTAAGGTTAGGTTAGCTTTTTCTTTGTTTGTGGAGCTGTTCCTTTAAACTTCTACCTAATTAAGAGCTTAAGATAACAAGTACATAAGCAGGGAATTAGTCCTGTATTTGGGAGTTTTCCTTAAGAGTGATCTTCCTGTATGTCCTTGACACCAGGTGACAGATGCAGTTTTGTCCAATGTCTCAGTACACACAAGCTATGCTAATCAGCTACTTCAGTCTGGCATATGATGTAGCACAAATACCAGTGCAAGGAGAATTCTGTACATGTAAGACATTATTTTGGGGGTCTTTAGTTGTAGCCTTTGGGTTTCTCAGTTGAAGGATACTTTAAAAACCCCCCAAAAATACTGCAACAATGACATTTGTATTTAAGTGATGGATCTACCAAATTACTTATATTCTGAAAGGGTAGGAAGGTGGGAGATTAATAGAACAAATTTGTGTAATATGCATGTACACAGAGTAAGTGCAATTTTTAAAAGTTTCTTTAAAAAATAGAATAAAAAAGAAAAGAGACAGAAAACTCAAAGGTGCGTGGTAGTTAGTAGTAGGCAGTTTTCACTAGTGTATTACCACTGATTGATCATCCAGAAGACTCAACGTGATGACTATTTAATGCACATTAAGTATCATGATTGTAGGCGTTACACAAAACCAGCTTAGGGGCCACTACTGCTCTGTAACACGATGCACCTTGCCAGCCCTGTACCACAAAGCTACATTTTTCCATTTGGTGGCAGTGGGAATATTTGAGGTTTTTATCAGTACACAAACAGGGCATTAACAAGTTATTCTATGAAGGGAGATGATTTTTCAAAGAAAAAATTGTTTTGCTACTCAAGTTGAAAGGGAAAAAGTTTGAGAAGCTGAGAGACTCCAGCTGAAATGCTGACTGCAGAGAAGCTGAGGACAGAATGTCCATTGGCTTCCTTGCAGCCAAAATGTCATCCTAACTCTTCTGCAAAGTACTGGAAAAAATGCTTGGCAGGGAGTGCATGAAACCTCCTTCACACAAGACTTAGCAACAGGTTATATGAACATCTGCCTTAAAAGGTTTAAGTAGAGTTGATCTTGCCCTTCATACTTGTCCCTTGTATGTCTGTGAACTACCTTTTCAAATATTTTACTCTACTGAAAGGCCTGGTAAGAAAAAACAAACAACAAAATTGATCTTTTACTACAGTAGGGCTACTTTCAGAGAAGATACTACTAACTGTGAATAAGAATTGACATAGGAATCTGACTCCTTGCAAAACAGAATGTGCCCTAGCAAGTTTTTACATAATATTAAAGGCTTACCAAGGAAACACTTGAAAAACTGGTTGTGAGGGGGAAAAACAAGCTAAATTATTTCCCTATACCCCTGTAAACAATTCTCTTTTGATCTTTGGAGTAAATTCAATTTCCAAAGCTTTTGTTCTGGAATAAAGCAATATACAAGAAACAGGTTTTCTTACCTGAACATTTCTGACACCTCTACAGTTGCCAGCCAGAAACTATACGAATTGGCATAGTAATTACAAGTGCCACGACCATGGCATTCAATAAATGGAGCTGAGCGGAATTCTTCTAAACAGGATCCAGGCGACGCCAAGGCCTGTCCAGAGCCTTCTGCTCCAGCACTAGTGTGCTGGTGTAGGGGTGAGGGAAAGAAACACACAAACAAGAACCTTATAGTAGGCACTGAAAATTAAATAGCACAGCACTGAACTACTAAAAGAGCCACTGTTCATTCTTGGTTGAAATAATGCAGTGGCAGACACCTCCATAAATATATCAGTTACACTGTGCTCTGTGTACTGGAAAATCACTGTTAACCTTGGCTACCATGGTTAGCAATTGAAGGTAAAGGCTTTTCAGTGACAACCATTGTAGTTTTTAACAAAGTTCTAAAGCAACTAGTTGAGGAAAACAAGTGGGTACGAGCCACTTCTGGAGCGGGAGGCAGTTCTTACCATCATGAAAGAGTAACCAATCCAAAGGGAGTCCCAGCCGGGAGGACATGAAGGAATCTGAATGGTCTGACTGTGGACAGCGATCACCATAGCAGGAGCTTCACACACAACACATCTGGACACAGGGGAAATACCAGAGCAACATGTGATACTGGAATATAATAGGAGTATGTTTCATTAAGAATTCTTACACAAAGAAATGGAAGAAGACGAGCCTCTGAGAGGCTGTCCGACTAATCTAGACTTCTCGTGTATTTTGTAACTGCAATAAACCAGCATATTTTGGAGTGCAAAATCTGCCTGTATTTCCACTAACAACCACCGGGTTAAATACTGAAGCAGTTCCTGAAACAAAAACTGGCAGCTCAATGTCCCCAAGTGAGTGCCTTAATCCTAGACCTAACGGTGCTCACGTTCTCTTTCCTGTCCATGGCAATCTTGCACTGCTGGTTACATAGCTTTCTCAGTTGAAGAGAGCCCTTGAGCCTCTAATTATTACTGCTGCACACAGACAGACCTTTTAAGACAATGAATACTTCAAAACAAGCTATTTTCCTGCTATTTCCCAGAGGTAAACATGACAGACTCATCTAATATCCGACCTGCACATTGTAAATGCACAGGTAAGATGTATTATTTATCCAGATGTTAAAAAAAGAGACCTGCTAGCCTGCTTTGTCTCACCGGCTAATGAATGGCTGGATGCTTTGCCCAGTCAGTGGCTCCATGCTCATTGGCATTGGCTCTGGAGTTGACAGCCAGTAGGAATAGTCATTCCTCGATGCAAAATTACAAACATTGTTGATGTTGCAGAACATGAAGGGCATGGTGCTGAAACGTCTAAGACAGCTCCCAGCAGTACCTACAGAGGAAGATATATAAAATGTGGCAGCAAAGTTTTCACTTCATTGCTTTTTATAGCAATTCTTTGAGAACAGTAATTGTGTACTCTTCCTTTCCACCTGCAAGTACACAGCTTGTGCTATCAAATTGTCATATGAGGAAAAAACTTAACTTCTCTTGGCTTACATTCTTTCATCCTGAATTATAATGTGCAACCTCTGGAGGTAGTAGATCTTAGTATGCAACTCCCCCCCTCCTCATCAAAGAAATCTCTAAGTCTGCCACATCTTCAAAGAACCAGAGCATTTGAAGAAGCAGCTACAATGCCTTTCCTCTTAAAGACAGAGCATACAGAATATCTCACCCAAATCCTGGCCATGTGCTCTCTCATTTCCTTGCACATACAGAAGAGAGAATCCATCATATATTCTTGATGTTCCTTGTGGACACAGTGGTGTATCCCTGGTCTGGCTGTGCCGAGTTATAAGAAATCCGTGAGCAACGGATGCTGTTCCAGGAGGACCAGGTGGGCCTTGTAGGCCATCAGGACCAGGAGGTCCCTGTATTCCTCGAGAACCTGTTCACATGAGAGAAACACAACAGACGGTATTTATTAACACCATTTCTTGCTCTTTTAGGACTACTGTAGCTCTGAAAGGTACCATGGTCTTGTGATTAAGGTGCTTGGGAGGTGGGGGACCTGGTATCTGCTAATGCTATCTTCCTCAAATTATTTTTTCAGGTAAGCTTGGTTAAATCAGTAAGGCCTTCACAGCTAGTTATAAAATAACAGTGCAACTTCTCAGTGTTATTGTGAAGTTAAATATGTTCAGAGCTGTGAGGCACTAAGATAACAACTGCAGTGGACATGACAGCCACTGGAAGGGGTCCCAATCAGCTTCCCAATTCCAAAACATATTAATCTGCACATGCAACTCAGTAAGATAATGTTGAAACACCTTGCTCAAGATGAGAAAATAAATGGCAGAGCCAGAAACAGAAGCAAGTCGCACAATCTAGGGCATGCTGTGATAATACCTGAGCCAAAGCCCTCCTAAATGAATAGAGAAGCTGCAGTCAGTTTTGGAGTGGGTTAGAAAGAGTGTAAATAGGCTAGAACAACCTTGAATGAGAGTAAGAATGAGTTGTATGACTGAGAAAGGTATCAGAAATAGCATTTGTTCTTGAACAGCAAAAATATCAGGAAATATTAAATACATATATAGATATATATACACAAATATTTAGACTATGTTATTCCACAGTGATTATTATTTACACTTTTTCACTAAAATAATGCTAACAGATTTCATAGAGCTATTAGACAAAAAGGAAAAAAGGCATTATGGATTTTGGTACCATTTTAACTGTTTACATCCTAATACTTTTTCTCAGAAATTGCAATATATAGCTACTTAATATGTATCATCATCTTTAGAAAATTGTCCCAGTGCCTAGCCTGATTTCTTTTCTCAAATTGTAATTCTAAGCAATAGCTGCATGGTAGCCTGATCTCTGCCTCTGGTGAAATTCTTTCCTTTATGAAGTCTGTTTTTCCCCATTCATGATTTCCATGCAAAATGAAAATTATTTTACTAATCTCTATCTTCTGTTTCTTACTATCTTCATTATCTCCTGTGCATCATCTGTACTGTGACGGGGATGCCACTGAGCTTGAGATAAAGCATTCTACAATATTACTTAGCAATGACCAGCAATGTATTGGTTCCAAGAATATTCCAAATGAAAGTACGTTCAGCTGCTTGTAATATTTTCGCATTAAGAAAATACTAAAATTATGATTTTATTATTATTCCCACAAGGCAAAGATCTCACTTCACAGTATTAGCCTGCACCCACAAAAGCGAGCATCTCTTTTTTTCCACTGGGTCCTCACAGGATAAACACCATACCTGGTTGGCCTGGAAGACCTCGCTCTCCTTTACGTCCTACTGGACCATCAAAACCAGGTAGTCCATCTCGTCCTGGGTCACCAGGAAGACCAATTGGACCTAGAATAAACAAATGCATAACTGAAATAAAAGCTCTTGAAATTTCACTACAGACATCTTTAATTTCTCTAGGACTCATCTATTGTTTCTTCACGATACATTAGACAAGAAGAGACCATTAAACCCAATGTATATGGTAAAACCCTACATTTATCTACTGCTTCTTGCTGAATTCAGTAACTTGTCTTTGCAGCCTATGCCAAGTGACTCGTATTGCAGCCTGCAGTCACTTATTACTTCTTAATAATTTTCTCTGCAGCTACCTAGGATCATACCTGGCAATCCCTGTGGCCCTGGCAATCCAGGTGGCCCTTTCGACCCAGGCTGTCCCGGAGGACCCGGGGGACCTGGGTCACCTTTAACAACAATGCTTCGTCCAATGGTACCTGGTAAACCTGGTGGACCTGAAAGAAAGCAGCTTGGTATTAGATAAACCAAAGTGGGAGAGAGCATTAGAAACAGTTTCTGTTACCCTTTATTGCAAAGTCAGAAGCCAAGAGCTCTATCAGTGCAAAGAACTGTATATATAAGGCAAAAAAGTGCTCTTGGTGTCCCTCCCCCGCCCCGGATACAGGGTATAAAATAGTGTAGGATTACTTGTAGGGCTAAAAAGTATAGCCCGGAATTGTGTTTAAGCTGTGGCTCACTTTGCTTTCATTGCTGGCTGAGCCCACCACGGTCTTACATCTGTGTAACAAATTCTACTGTCAGGGAGCAAAAATGACAATAATGCTACCCAGGACTCCTACCTGGCGGGCCTGGCAGTCCCTGGCTGCCTGTGAGGCCAGCGGGTCCTGCAGGTCCAGTGGGACCCTTCATACCTGTAACATCAAATTCACACAGTTACACAGTGAAAGAACATGCTGTCTTAGAAAATCTACTGCAGGAGTGGCGGAAATCAGGCTGCTTTTCTCCCTGAGGGGCTGTTACTGTGTCTGGAGGTTTTCACTTGAAATGCTTGTTAAATACCTGGGAATACCCACTTAAATACCTGGGAATCCTGGAACGCCTGGAACCCCGGGGTCACCCTTCATTCCATTCAGACCTGGACGACCAGGATCCCCCTGAACAGAACAGCTTCACGTTATTCACTCATCTCCTCAGCAGTTTCAGAGAAACAGATAGAAAAGGTGACTGGGGGACAAATAAGCACACTTTGGGTCAGTGAACTAGTGCTTTGAAGGGCTGAGGCCATACATCCTGCTCACTGCACTGGGTGCTGTCAGAAAACACTGCCACACAAGTGTGCATTGACAGCAAATATAATGGGGACATTCTGCCCAGATACTGAGGGATAATTAAGGAAAAAACCCTCTTTACTTGCTACAAGACAGGGTGTTAGCTACCACATTTTGGCTTTTATTTTACTATGTTGAACTGCATATTCCACCCAAATACATGCCATTTTTATTGCATCTAAAAATAAACTAGGGGAAAACTCCATTTCTTGTCCTACCTGGCGTCCAGGTGGTCCTTGATCTCCCTTTTGACCAGTCAGGCCAGGTGGGCCAGGTTGACCTGGGTTCCCCTTTTCCCCCTTAAGTCCTCCACTACCTGGTGGCCCTCGTGGACCTTCTGGGCCTGGTGGACCTTAACATTGCAGAACAAATATGCATATATCAGTATATATCAACCATTCTCCCCCAGTTTGTGCCTTCAGCTTAAAAAAAAAAAACAACAACCAAACATATTTTGGCTTGACTTCCCAGCTCTATTTCAATGCTGAATTCAGGATAAACTAAAAGGAAAACAAATAGAGGGATTATTTGCACTACCTAAATCAGGAACCAAGGCTCCTGTCTAGCTGATGAAGAGAAGCAGGTCTTTCCAGAAGGCAGTGCAACTCACCTGCGTTGGAAGCTTACCAGTGACCAGACCGGTGCCTTTACTAGGAGCCAGGAAACCCAGAATTAGATGGTACAAATATCCCCTCTGCTGACCTGCATACATTCAGCATCTCTTAAGTGCTATCTTAGACAGAATTCCTTTTGAAAGCTAGTCTCAACAATGTAAAATATTGCTGCTTTTTTGCTGTTAGAATATGACATACCTATTGAGGAGCCCAGTATATACTGTCTACTGACTGCTGGGCAGCAGCAAGCTCATCATTCTGCCTTGCCTAAATAATAATCTGAGTTGCAGAAACTTCCTTATGTTGAATGACTCTCCCTACAACTGATTTGTCCATCTTTAGTAGAATTACACTCTGGAAATCCAGTAAAGGAACTGGGCTGGTCTTTAAATATTTTCCCTTTTCTACAGCCACATTAATCCAAAGCAAAGCAGTAGATTTAAATAAAACTTAGGTATTTGGAGAACTGAAAGATGAGACCCCCACATTGACTCCACCGTATAAATAGAAGGTAATCGATATTAATTTGTGGCAAAACAAACCATAAGCAAGTGCAGCAACAGCTAATAACATTTTACAAGTTGGATCTCATAACTGGATTAACAGAAGGATCTGTTTGCAGGACAGTGCTATGACATTTTACCCTGTAGTAAAACAAATCTAGTAACATTTATCAGTGTGCTGGATTTTCAATTCTTCTGCAGTCTTGAGTAATTTAACATATCCTTTGACATCCTCATAGCCTATATGCAGTGGATAAATTTGATGAGCTGTATTTCTGCATGCAAATCTGAGTAGAAAATTCCTTCCAAAATTTCTAAACGAACAGCAACTTTGTACCAGATTTCACACATATCCTGTAGCAGTTTCAGCTGCAGAAAACATCCCATCATGCGAAGATTTTTTTGTGTTCATTTTGCTCTTTTATACTTGTCTAGTACTGTACACATGCAAAATAACAGGTTACCATCTGAGGCATGCTAATCAAACACATACGATCTGCAGGGTAACCATCGATTTACAGGAAAACATCCTTTTCTCTTACATCAAGTGCAACGCAGTAAAATAAATTGACCGAGTTAAGAGTCTAACCTGGAAGACCTGGAAGGATCAGAGTTCACCAAAGCCCAATGATCGATGTTAGAAGGGTCAGACATCACACAGTACAAAACAAGATTACTAGTTAGAAATAGTACAGATGACAGCATATACACTACACAACAACCCATTTCACCAGCATATTTTGTATTTACAGTATAATCCACATGCATGCATAATACCATACATGAATATACAACGATATGTATTTTCAGATACAAGTTATTCTGGTGACTAGGCTCTACTAAGACTAATTTGACACTTCATTTAACTGCAAAATTAAAGCTTTACTAAAGAATGTGTTATTGCTTTAACACTACAGCTGAGGCCTGTGACTGGTTAGTCCTACTCACAATGGGATTTGGACTATGTAACCATTTCACTGACACTATTCAGCATCACAGGGCCTGGAGCTTAGCAAATATGCAGGTAAATTGTGAATGACAACTTACTCTCAAGCAAATTCTGCTTCAAGCAGGAGGGAAGTGTGCTTAACACAAGGACTTATCACCACTAATCAGGTATGAACCTCAACTATCTGAGAATCCAGTTCTAGGGCTGAAAAGTAGACTTACACCCTCTTCAAAATGGTAAGCAGGGTGGACATGGATCAACAGGGCTGCGAATGCTGTAAGTGAAAATACAGCAGAACTTACAAACTTAGAATTTGTTGTCTTTACTGTGGCATTTTTTATTGATAAAAATACCCCAAGATGTGAATTTACCTGTTTAAAGTTATTGTGGAGAATGGCACATGATAACATCCTTAGAAAAATGATTTAAATGTCCTCATTCAAAAGGTAAGCTGGTTGTCCCTGTCATGCTCCTGATTACATATTTTAGCTCCTGTGCCACCTGAATCCTTCATGTCAGTGAAATGATTCAAACAGATCAACATATCAGCACGCAATTTGCAGCTAAAAACTACAATAAATACACATCAGGTTTACCTCAATGCACTAATTCTTACATATTTGGTAAATTATTTTAAATAATAACTGTAATACAGTTGTTAAAAATAATGACATGGACATTTCATTGTTACTGTTAAGTACTTATAAACTATATTTCAATGTTAGGTAAGTTTTGCTATGATTTATATATCTGTCCTATACTACTTGATTATTGAACTCTGGCTGGGCACAGTCAGAGAGTGGAACAAAACATGAAGCAATTGATAAGTTCCTCTCAGCATACCCATGATGGTAGCCCTTGTTGAAAGCGTGGTTACTGCTTGTGTGACCACAGTTTAATTAAAAGGTAAAGCCACATTCATTTTTTTACATGGCTGCATAAAGCTAGGATTCAAACATCAGGGGCTACCACATTTGCTACCTCACAGTGCTTAGGACAGCACACTAAAAACTAGAATGTATTCCTTTATTGAATTTTCATAGTTCTTTGATTCCTGAAAGTCACCATAGCAAAACCTAAAGACAACATTATTATTAAATAGATATACCAAGTCATTTTCAATCTAGACACAGACGTTAAAAATCTTCCCAAGAGCTGGCTTGTGCTACATGCTGATATGCCAAAATTATGATAAGCTTGTGAAAACCACCATGTTCTTACCAATCCTGTTCCACTGCCCTAGCGTTAGGGAGGGGAGGGCTGTATGCCTCTTTTTCATTAAATACATGTTAAAAGGAAGAGCTTTCATCATTTCCCCTAAATGTGCTGGTGAAGCAAAACAGTGGAAATAAGGATTTCTCTTCAGTGGAAAGTTACAATGCTCTAAGTTGGGAATGTAAAGCATCACTGTTACTCTGCATAAATGTTTGTACAGACACCTTTAGTATAAAAGCAGCATCTAATTTATTTAGGTCACTTGAGAGTGTCCAAAATCAACAGTAGCAGGTGTTACAAAAATCAATACTGTCACTTGCCCAAGCTGCAAAACACACTTACACAGCAAAGACATGAGAGGACAGCACAATATGTTTTTTTTTTAAAAAGATGAAACCCAATAAATATTATTTTCAACTGCACTGAGAATAAATATGCTAAAACAAGTTTCACAGTTGGGGACACTGTGTAAAAATCTTGCAAATCTGGACCCACATAATCTTCCCACCACTGAGAGAGTAGCACTATGTCCTTCCAATGTCAGTCCTACAACTATGTGGAGGAAGAGTCTGAAGGCCAACTCTGAGCTTTTATTTTCTACCACAAATTAAAAAGTATGTCTGAAAAATGACTCAGCATATCTACATTTAGACACTACAAAAATATATACATTCATCTTCATGCAAAGTTATTATTTTGGAGTTAAGGGGCTAACCTGAGGGACCTGGGAGTAGGGGGTCAGAGTTCACCAGGGTCATCATTAGAACAAGGGGAAAAACATCAAAATTGTTAGAAATATCAACAAGCTAATATATTCAACTAAACCTTTCTTTTTAGATTTAGCTCAATATTCCTTTACATACAGTATGCAAACCACCAAACTATTATTATTCACAGCAATGAAAATAGACATGTAGAGTAACAGCAATCTTGTGTTGCCCTGGAAATTGGCTTAATTTTATGATCAATTAATATATCTATCCCAACACTAGATAGAATCACTATCACCATTTCTTTTAGGGGCAACTCAACTGAAGTCAGAGCGCTACATCACGTTTGACTTCATCACTTTTACTAATCTTAGAATACACCCAGAAGTGAACAACAAACAGTATACACATACAGCTTCTAGTTTTATTTATGTCCCAAGAAGGGGGGTAATTTGACAGACACACAGCTTCTTTTATGACTGGCTGCCTTATGTTGAAATGTTACAAAATCAGCGTTCCAACAATAGACTGTGTTATCATTTGGAACAAAAGGCTGGAGTGCTGATTGTACCAGAACTGCAATAATAGTTTGGTTTATCCACATTAGTTTACGCATAACTGAGCAAAACAAATGCTTCACTTTGTACATTGCATGCAACAGAAATGGAAATAAAAGAAAGAAAGAAAGAAAGAAAGAAAGAAAGAAACAAAGAAAGAGAGAACATGGCTGAGCAGAACCTCACTGGTTGTTTCCCCCTTGCCAACGCTCATAAAACTGCACAAAATGAGTCCCACCATTCCTATACCTCCCCAGCTGATTAGAGTCAGCAAGCACCTGATTTATACAGAGATGTGAGCAGGATGAGAAGCTTCATAAAACCACCAGTGCTACAGCAGAGCACAGAATCTCAGTTGGTAGTTTTATTATACATCAGGAGACACTTAGTTGGTTTACCTTTTTCTTTTTTTTTTTTTTTTTTAAGAGTTTGGAGATATCCTCTGTATAGTAATCTTTTAAAAATGAAAGTCCATACTCTTACGGACCAATCAGATTCCAGGGCCAAAATTTTAATTGCTGTACCACTCTACATACAGAAAAATTATCTTTGGAAGACCTTGACATGTAGGATGTCTTAGGCTTTTACTTGGGCACGCTTAAATTACCAAGCCCAAGTCCAGCATCCCACCATCTCTTATCCCTTCACTCCTCCTCCCACTTGCCCCAGCTGCAACTCTAACCACAGTGAGCAGAACTGGGATTACTCATCCAGTACTCCAATGTGCCAGTGAGCAACTAGGCAGAAGAGGACAAGGCCAAACAGAAAGTAGAAAGCAAATTAGGACTACCAACTTGCTGCAGGGATGCTCCACTGACTGGTTAGAGCCCCTGGGGCACAGCAGGGAGTACTTCCTCCAGGAGAAAGGGGGAAGGCACGCACTCCCCCTTCCACTGACCAAATAGGAAACAAGGAAGAAATTGTGACTGACTGAATTATTAACCCACTGGGTTGTTCCACACCAGTCACATAAAAAGCAGGTTTAAGATACAACATAATTCAAGTATTTTTACTGAGACTAAAAGAAAACTTCATTATACTGTCAAACATCACGCTAGTTTTAAGATGTTATAAATTAAAACCAAATGTTGTTTATAATGACTCATTTTTTAAATGCACGGTTAGGATAGATGAGTTCATAGTCTACTCTGCACAAGAAAAAAGCTCATACTACCATTGAGAATAATCAAACATTACTCAATTCCAGCTCTAGTGAAAATATTTTGATAAAATTCCATTCTAAAAATGTTTTTCAGTGGGATTGCCTCCTGCTGTATCAGAAACAAGCATGAGGAAAAAGCAAATCTTAAAATCATTCCAAGTGTGTACTGCAAAACTAAACTCTCCCTTGATACCCCTGAATGAACAATATATGCGTAGCAGCTATTTAAAAAATGTACTAACAAAAAACTAACTTTCCCCAAACAAAACTTCAAATAACAGAAAAATCTGAGGTCAGAGTTTGAGGGCAATAAATAAAAATATTACTTTGCCATTAATATGCAAAGAAAAAAAACCTGTAATCAACCAATAGCTTGGTTTGAAAGTAGTCTCCTTTAAGGTGAATATCAAGCATGTTAAGTGAGATGAGTCTTATTGGTAGCAAAGTACTTCTGGACTCAAGATACAGCAACAAGCTTGAGCCAGAGCTGTGACAGGCTCATTAAAGGTAGATTTTTCATGAGCAGTATCTAAATGCAAATAAACATCCTGTGACACAGAATATAAATCAAATTCTAATACATGCCAGGGAGTTGCTCAGCAATGTTAACTCAGGATAGTGGTTTTTTCATTCCCAGAATTAGTTGGTGCAGGAACAAAATGCAAACATGGAATGGAAGGATGAACACGGCATGATGGTGCACTGAGTCCACGGGAGCCACGTGACACAATGGAGCAGTGACTTATGTTACATGACACGAAGATGAAGAGGCAGCTATCCAATTTGATCATGCTGTGATGCTAGCGTGAATTTGATTTTCATGACTCTTAAAATGATGGGGTTTGTTACTTTTGGATTTTTTTTTGTGCGCGATGACATTTGCTGATCACGTGACAATATTGCAAAGGTATCAGATGTTCAAAAGTCGATATCGTGCTCACTAGATGATTACTGTGACAGCATGCGGAGAATCTCCCGTTTATTAACGCGTTAGATTTTTGCTGCCAGGTATCAGAAATTAATAGGAAGAGAGGCTGTTTTATTTTACTCTTTTTGTTACTTTTGACAACAAAATCCTCTGGTTGCCCACAAATGTTAAGACCTACGCCACGAGGCTTGAACTTATCCATCCAAATAAAGTTTAAAGGCTGATAACCTACCAGCAAAACATCAGAGTACTGACAGATATTGATAGGTGTGGATCACACTCTTACCTGGCCTTCCTGGAACACCCGGTGGGCCAGGGCTACCTTTAGGACCTTCCAGAGGTGGCCCTGGTAATCCTGGTGGGCCTGGTGGACCCTGTAGACCAGGGAATCCCTGGAAACCTGGTTCTCCCTTCAAACCTGGAAGTCCAGGGGGCCCCGGTGGGCCAGGTAACCCCAGTTCTCCTTTTTGCCCTGCAAAACCAAACAGCCATGTTTATGAATACTAGGTTACAAATTAATAGGCAAAAAAGTCTAGATGTCAGTTTGCAAAGCAGTTTCTCTCTCTTGCAGAAGGTGCAAGTCCGGCTGCAAGTCACCTCATTTGCACAGTGAGAGAGTATAAAATATTGTCTAACATTCAGAAGAGAGTTAGGGCTGATAATTCTTGCAGGAGAAAGTGCTCTAGTTTCTGACGTTAAAAGGTCTAAGTCTCACTTTACTGTGCAGTGATGCTGTAATTCATAAACATACTCTGAGTCTGTAAGCCTACAAACAATGCTTTCTGTGAAGAAATATGTCAATATTCAGACTTCATAATTTTTTTGAGAGACTGCTGAAAGTTAAGACATACTTGCAAAATTTTCAAATAAGCTTGAGGAATTTAGGAGCTTTAATGCTACTGAAAGTAATATAACTTAGGTTGTGAAGTTGCTTTTAAAAATACAGCAAGCAGCTATGTTTTCAAAAGCAGCTTCATTTGTCATCAGCTGTATGAATGCTTTATTTACTGAGGCAAATCAGCAAAGTTCCACACAATGCAGCAGACTATTACCCTGTGTGGATTTATTCTGTCTGCATAATTGCTAGTTTACAAAACTCAGTAGTCAGTAATGAGTGTCTTTATTACCGTGGTTAATTGAAAATGGTCTGCTGAGAAAAAAAATACGTCATTTTAGCTGTTGCTATGGCATTCATTTGTTGCAGAACATACAACATGGCCTTTTTTTGGTGTATAGATATATTTTACATTTGATCTTTTTAACAAAGAACAATAGAGAAACTTTACCTGACAATCCTGGAAGTCCTGGAGGTCCTGGGCGTCCAAAACCTGGCAAACCTGAGAAGAAACAGATTCAGTTAATAATGAACATCTCGCTTTCAAGTCTCCAGGAACAGGAATATGAGGCCGAGAATGATGAAAGTAAAGTTTGTCTAAATCTCTGATTCCTTGAGACTACCAGGATTCTCATTCATTCACCAGTCTACACCAAAGCTAAAAAAGCCAATTTTCTACAAAATGCATCTATACCTTTCATAAGTATTTCCACCCATTCACAAGATGCTCTTTCAGATTTTGGGAGTTAATACATTTGCATTATTAGTTGGGGTTCCACCTCCAAGGCAGACATTACACTGTTTATCCATTCTGTAACTGAGCTGAAGCAATACAGCTACTGTGGAATACAGGAATGGGGACTGGTGTTGAAGTCAGGTAATAAAAATCTTAGAGTTAATTGAATTCTTGTCCCGTGCTTCATTGGCAGCTTGACAGCAGCCTTTGTGAACCATTCAGCAGCTGGGAACCAAAGGAGCAGCTTTGAAGGTGTGTGGGCAGTTACAGGAAAAATAGAGAAAGCAGGACATCACAACGCAGAGTAAAGAGGAGAAAACAAACAGGAAGGATTCCTAACCTGGTTCACCCTTCTGACCAGCTGGTCCAGGGATACCATCTCGACCAGGCTGTCCCTTCTCCCCTGAAGGACCAGGAGGGCCAGGACGACCAATATCACCTGAAAAGGGGGATAGAACACATTAGCACACTAATGCCTAACATGCAATACAAAAAAGCAACCTCCCTCCCCTCTCCCCACCATCTGAATCTGAAGGTGTGACAATGTAATCACAAATTCACAAGGGTGTAATCTCAAAATCAAAACCTTTCTCTTTCTCTGTCTCCTCCCTGACAATTTAGAAAAGACTTTTAGGCCTGTGACCTTTTAAGCAGTTAGTGTTTGCTAAAAATAATATAATGCTTACCTTTAGGATAAATTAGAATTTTGCTCCTATAAAAACAGGTTAGACCACTGGAGTACTTAACATAAATAAAGCTGTTAAATACCGAAACAGTTAACTTCTTGTTTCAACAGCTAATGATATGACTATGACCGCAGACCCAAGTCGTCAAGGGAAAGTTAAAACTTCTTTCTTTTCTGCTTAATTTCAGTGAACTAAGTGTGTGCAATGGTGTTTGAGCATCCATATACATACAGATGCATTTTCATGATGTTAAAAAGAAGAAAGGAAGTGGCTTCATGTGTTACGTTTTCCACAGAAGCAGCTGACCTTTGCTGCACAGTTCATGCTCACCTACTGGCCCAGGTGGTCCCGGCAGGCCAGGATTACCTGGAGGCCCCTCGATACCTTTTGGTCCTGGAATTCCTGGCGTTCCTGTAAAGTAGGGGCATTTCAATCAAATTAAGCACAAAACTGGCTTTTCAGCAGATCTTGAAATGCTATAATCTGAGATGCCCTGAGTAACAAATAAGCTAATTGTATCAAGATACTGTATTTATGCTCATTCTGAAGATTTACAGTGGATCAAGGAGATGAATTAAAAAGCAAAGAGCGTACAGAAACAAAACATAGTAGCACAACTGTCCTTACTGCTACTCTCAAGGCTCTGACTTCTTAATTGTTGAGTGCCCGTGGTCAAGGACAAGCCAGTCTGTCAGTCTGCTAGGAAATTACCATTTCAGACACAGGTGTTTCTGCTTGACAACAAATTGAAAGCATTATGACCTGCGGTAGGACAGTCCTTCCCCAATCCTCTTTTCCTATCCTGAAAAAGGATCTTAATAAAAATGGTCTTAGTTAGCATTTACACTGGATTCTCACCCCTATAGCATGAACTGAGTGAGAGGGAGGAAAAACAATCAATCCGTTGCATTATGTCTGTTCTGAACAGCACCTGAGCCTGACCAAGGTAGTGTCTCAATACACCGTGTTTTGACTGTTCACAGTCTTTCAAGCATGACATGAAGCAGAGGTTAAAAACTGCCAGATTCATGGCCGGGTTTTGTTCTCTCCTAAGCTTCCTGCTGCCATGACTACACTGTTATAAATTCCCTAACTTCCTACATTAAAGTAGCTCAAGCATGCTTGTAGAACAGCCTCATTACAGCAAATTCAGCATAGGTAAAAACCTTGTTTCTTTAAATTGAGAATGAAGGAACCGACATATTAGTAGAGATTGGTTAGGAGTATATTTTTTTAGAGAAGAGTGCAAAACCTAATTTCATTATGTTTCAGAAAGAGATTTCTCTTTAGGATCTATTTTTAGACAATAAATGGTATTTTAAAAGCCCAGTTTTCCTGATAACACTTTTCTGTTGATTCATGAAGGAAAAACACAGAGCCAAATACAGGTATTTTGTGGGTCAGAAGAGGTGAGAATCTGACTGCTGCGGGGAGTGAAGAGCATTAGCTAACACAGCTGCTACAGCCCATCAGAGCAGATGAATCATTTCAAAAGATACCCTCCTCAAGTGATGCATCCACACACCCTTGCAGTGACAATTCCAACAGCACAAAGCTTAGAAGCAGCAGATCATCAGAAACTTTGAAAGAAGCTGCAGCCCTCCACCGATTACCCACTGCGTTTAGATGTATATACCAATATAAGCAAGAGGGAAAACAAAATAATCCTGTTCAGAATTACCTGGGAATCCAGGAAGGCCTGGTTCTCCTTTTGCACCTGGACTGCCTGGAAATCCAGGCAAACCAGGATTTCCAGCTATACCTTTACTGCCTGGACTACCTGGGTATCCAGGCAAACCAAGATCACCCTAGAAAACATCAAGCAGAAATAAGAACCCAGTCTTTGTAAGATGGGTAAGCCCTTCTTGTATGTTCCCAGTCTCACTATCACAAAAAGGTCACTGTTACATTGTGTACGCTTCTCCTTATATCCAGTTCATGCTAACCCTTTCACACAGAAAACTAATTGGAAATAGCAATTGTAAAGATTTTAATGGTTTTCCCCTACAGTTTTGTAAAGAGTATCATAGCTTTTCCTTGGAACTGACCTACATTAAAGAAAAAAAGCATTCCCTTTTCTTTCAGAAGAGACAGAGATTTTTACCCCATGATAACACAGAATAAAAAAGGAAATGTGTGGAGCTTTAATCATGCCATGTTTTTGTTAATTGCTGCTCAACATCAATTGTAAGGCATCAGTGAAAGCTGCTAGATATTCTGTAGGTCTTTCACTTTTTTGTGGGTGACAAAGGATACGTAAATATTAGTGCAAATGTTTTATATAGACTTACAATTTTTAAGCAACAGTAATCATCATCTATCAGCTCCTTAGTAATTTATTCTGAAATGCATGTTGTATTAATTTTTTTAGAATTAACTACATAATTAGACATGGGAACGATGATATTAATTGTATAAATCCCTATCAATTACCAAAATGTCAGCAGATGTCACAGTGCAGACTAGGCCACTAGCTGAACCCAACTTGCAAGGTCTGGTAAACAGTCATCTTCTTTAACTGATAAATAATGTAACCAATATATATAAATATTTTCACCCTTAAAATTTAGAAATTTTGGCTCCCACCTGACAAGAACAAACCACAATCAACTCTGCTTGTTATTAATATATTTATATACATATTTAGTTATAGGTGATGTATATTATAGTTTTTAAAAAAAATCAACACAAACCCTAATTTCCTCATGGAATTTTGTCTTAAAGAGTTTTGTAAATGTACCTTTGGTCCAGGGAGACCAGGAATACCAATGCTTGAAAGACCAGGGTCACCTTTCTCCCCTTTCAATCCAGGAAATCCTGCAGGCCCAGGCTGCCCTGGACGGCCTGCTATTCCTTGGATGCCTTTTATCCCTGGGGGACCTGTCCAAAAGATAAAATATAAGTTTTACAAATATAAATACAACTTTTGCAGTGGTTTAGAGAAATCACTCAAATTACAGCAACTGAACTAGAAAGGACTAACAAATTGACTGGCTGGCTTTGAATACCTAATGTGTCTTTATTTTTAAAAACAAACTAAAACAGTTATCTAAAAATCTGTCATGGATATTTGCATGACATTTCTAAACTTTCTTTTTTTATTCTTAATTTACACAAATCCAAATATCTCGTTGTAGTATCTAGGCACAATTTAATATTAGAATCCTCAGAAACTGTTTTTTGTTTCAGCAATCTTTCTAAATAACGGAATTCACTTTCTCCTTCCCCTTTTGCTTGTGTCTGATGTCTGCCTTCTGACAGGTGGGCTTACAGAATCATCTTTTCTCTGAGCTTTCACAGAGTGGAATCTGAGAAACCAGAAAAGTATGAAAGTTAGAAAATGTAGCTCATTCTGCCTCTACATCCATAAGCACTTTAAAATAATACATATTTGCAATATATTTGCATTTTCTGTTTTAACGGATATTTCCAATTTCTTATGTACTATTTCAACAACTATATATGTAGGGCTTTATGTATTCCTCATCTGCATTGCCATTAAAATATATTATTAGATGGTGCACACAAGCAGATCCATCTCTGTACTACGTAAAAGGATAACACTGGCCAAAACAAAGTAAAATACAAGCACAGAAACTAACCTGGAAGGCCCATCTCTCCCATGGCACCTTTTAACCCTGGAGGTCCTGTTGGCCCCGGTTGTCCAGGAAGCCCCGTGTCTCCCTTGATGCCTAGGAAAGTTGTGGTTTTAATTAATTAATTAATGGCAATAATTAAAGAGTTTCTGATATGCATTCTCATATGAAAATTTCTGTCATATAATTACAAAGGCAATGGATTTGGAGTTGCTTTAGGCCTCATACTGTTCCTACATACTTTCTCACACCCATTTGTGGTGAAATATTAAACATCTTCAGTTTGTTCTGAGCCAAGATTTGATCAGGGCAACTTCTTAGCTTTGAAGAGTAGTTTAGTGAAATGTGTCAAATCTCAGTCCATGATTTAGTAACCACCTGAAAAAATTTAGTACTGGTGTGACTTGGTTTCTCATGAGTTGTTCTGCAGAATGAACACATTATCTCTTTCTCACCTGCAATAGATATTCAGTAGCTTTTATTATGGAATTAAATGCGACCTACAATGCTCAAACTAGTTTGAGTCCTGGATGGTTAAAAAAATTCCCCAAGCCCAACAAGATATTTAGAGCAAGACCTATTTAGACATATGAGCAAAGATTCAAGATTTCAGATAAGTTGTTATAGCTGTAGGAAGAAGCAGGGCGAAATAGAATTGGTTTTCTTGATACTTGCAATTCTTTAAAGCAAAGATGTGACATCCAGACAGCCTTTGCAATACATTCATTTGGCCATTTGCAAAGTATGAGTATAATAACTAACAATATAAGAAATAAATGCATGAAACAGACAACTCTTGCTGGCAGATCCTGCAGTCGTGTTGCTTGCTCAAGCAGCAAGCACTTTTCCAGTCATCCTAAAAGCTTTCCTAATCTTCAACACAATCAGCTTAAAACTGCTTTTGGATCTGTCAGAAGGGAAGAGCTCAAAGCACGCTGTTTGGATAATGATTTTAAGTGTCTCCAAACCGTGCTGCAGCTCTAAGTGTAAATTCCTACGTTTTGCTTACCTGGATTAACATACCAGTCCCATGTGATAAAAACGCGTGCACATTTTTACAGATCAAACCTGTCCATCTGTGGCCTTGTTTACTTACCTGGCAATCCCGGCACACCTGGTGGGCCACTAAGTCCTGGTGGGCCTGGATCACCTGGGAGACCTTGATAACCTTTCTGTCCTGATAAGCCAGGAATGCCTCAAAGGAAGAAGATACATTTTATTATGACTATTACCACTACTGTATGTTTTCTTTCACCTTAAGAGATCAGATTTAGATACAGGTGAGTAAAATGCAAATAGGAATTTTTTTTCAGTAAATAGAATTCCCCCTAGTTTAGCAAAGAAAAGTATCACAGAACACAAAATATTGCTTATGGAAAGATTAAAATTACTATGGAACAGGAACAATATAAGTAAGTAGAGGAAAAAGTAAGTTTACAACTAATGCAAATATCCTTCATTCAGAAGGGACTGTCTTTTTGGATGAGCAGACACCATGCTAGCTTCTCTATATTCATCCAGATTATTTATATACATGTTTAATTACATTGCTACACCAGAAGCACTTTGGAACTGATCTCTTATAAGAAGTAATGCAGGTATTTTAGCAGGTTTTTACAAGTTCTATACCATACAATAACTTTGTGCTGCCCTACAGGCATAGTTAAATCTGTGCTCTACAGCTCTTACTTAACGGGACAGGAGGGAGCGGGGGGAAGGCAAGTGTCTTAGGATCCTAGCTAGGCTTCACAGAAATTAATACAACAGATAAATTAGCACAAAAATGGCTGGGCCAACATTAGAGAAAGGCATTCTGGCTCTCTCTAGGGCAGAATATTTTTACTCTTATCAAGAGTAAATTAGAGTTCAAAGGAGATGTCAGAACCCTTGGTGGGGGAGCAGAGGGAAGCCAGCAAGTGAGAGAGAAACCACACTCCAGTGAATTGAGAAAACCTTTCAGGCTGCCAGCTTCCTAAGTAGAAACACACACAGAGATGACATTTAGCTCAGGGGAGGGTAAGCTTACAGAGATACCCAAAGGGACAATCTGGAGGTGATGCATGAGCAGATGACCTCTGCAACTCCATCCTACAAGGCAAAGGCCCAAGGGGCTTCGAGACAGCAGGAATGCAGCCAGCACAACAGCCATGACAACTATTTCTCCATGTTTAGGAATAACACCTAGAAAACTGAATCGCAATCCTGCTGAAAGCACCTTAGTGCTATTACAATACCTCCATATGCCAAATAATAGTAACAGTTAATGAGCAAGGACACTGCACACTAACCATCATAGAACCACTCAAAAAAAAGTCTAAAATAAGAGAACCTTAAGCTACTGAGTTTATAAACTCAGAGTTTATTTTTGTCTGTAAGGCAGAATGAACTGTAACGGATTCAGTTACAGTCACTTATCTCTAGAATATAAACCACCTCCCCAGCCCCACATGCAAAGTTCTGTACCTGGAACACCTGGCTCGCCTTTTTCTCCCTTTGCTCCTAGCTGTTTCGGATCAACTTTTCCAGGCGGACCTGGCAGGCCTGTTTCACCTTTGATGCCTTTCTGTCCTACTGGTCCAGGAGGTCCTGGAGGCCCAGGTAATCCGTTATTACCTACAGTAGGTAGTAGACAACAAAAGGGAAAAAATCATAATCCTTAAGGTAGGCTAATACATTTGTAACGCTTTTTCTTACATAGGGAGTCCATGATTTATTAATGAAGTTGGAATTCACTAAATGATCAGTCAGTTTATGCAACGTTCTCCACAACACCTTAAGCCCTGGAACAAACTCAAGTCAGTGGACTGCATGGGGACGTCTGTGTGCTGCAGCCTGGGAGCTCTGGCCAGCCCAGCTCAGAGGAAGCAGCTCTCTCTGACCCACATCGTGAGAGCTCTCAGTGCCCCCCACATTGTGCCACCAGCACAAAGGAGGTGCAACAGCTACAGCAGCTTTGGATTCACAGCCTCCTTGTTCTAGGGAGATGTTTGGTTTTTTTTTTTCTACCAAACTCTTTCCAAATTTATCTCCAACAAGGGGTTAGATAGAATAGGTTCTCTGTGACACCTACAGAGCTGATTCTGGATGACTTCATAACCCAAAGCTACTGATTTTCTACTTTCTGCTGCTTAAAGCAGACTTTAAAACATACTTCAGAAATATTGCCCTACTTCAATGCCATCAATCCAAAGGTAATCTTTTAAAAATAGCTAACGTTTCATGGCATCAATTTAAAAAAGAGTGACTGAATGCTATGGCTTAAAACTGCAAAAGCGATTCGGAACATCAGCACTGTCAAAAAGAAGATAAGCTAAGCAGATCCCAGTAATGAAGATCTACATGTTAGTATTTCAAAGCTTCTTTCCACACAGGACATGGAAAACAGCATTCTGATTCTCTTCAGGGGTGGATAAAACAAACATTACCTTTCAAGCCAGGCAGGCCATTTCTTCCAGGAGTTCCTGGAGGCCCTGGAGGACCAGGAGCTCCCATGACACCCATCTCACCTTTGGCACCTAAATGCATTGAATCACTGTTGTCAGTCTGAAAAAAACCTCAAAACCTATCAGTATCTAATTTCCACTTCCCTGCATCTCTATGTTATTTATTAGCCAGCACATGGATATAAAGTGTGTTTTAAGGGAATTACAAGCACTCAGTTCTTGTATAGATCTAAATCAGATAAGATGACACTTGAAATTTTTGGCAAATTTTCCACAGTTAAGTCCTGGGAAGAAAATTTACAGTACACTGTTCTTTATGGTAGAAAGCATATTTATACTTCCAATAAGTTTGGTTCCCTGGTTTGAAACAGAAATATTTGTTCTAAAACAAACTTCATTTTATTGAAGGCCAAAATGATAATTAGGTATACACTACCTTTAGAATCTTTTGTATCGCCCCCTCTATCCAAACACAAAGATTCTCAAAATTTGCTTTTGAGATTTCTATTCCAGAGGGTGGAACAGAATATCTTAACTGAATAGTCTAACGCATACAACGAAATTAATGCTTAAAACTATGTGTTGGATCTAACTGATAGCATTTGTAATTATTTTCTTTAAACAAGATCTATTTCTAAATTGTAGCAGTGACTAGGGAAAAAAAAAAATCACAAAATAGAGATGTGACATAATGTTGATGATTAAAGCAACATTTGAAAATTATGAAACAGAATAACATGGAAAATATTTGAATCAAGTTACAGGGAAAAGTGGAGGGGTGACAAAGATTTTAATGCAACAAATTTTGTTATCATTTTTTTTAAAAGTATGAGATTTAATGGTTACATGTATCCAACTTTCAACAGATAGGATAAACATCAAAGCTCATTAAGATGGCATGCCCCAGCATAGAGAGCATCCATGTGTAACTGAAGTTTGGTCTTTGTCCACAGGTAAAAAATGTGAACTTACCTGGAAATCCAGGTATTCCATCCCGGCCAGGTGGCCCAGGTGAACCCTGAGGCCCTGGGAGACCAGGGGGTCCTGGATATCCCGGGGTTCCTCGGTCACCTGGAGGACCAGGAACGTCGAAGCCTGGAGGACCTGGATCCCCTTTCTCCCCTGGAATGCCCTGCAACCCTAGGCAACGTTGTTAAGACACAATCTTTTAGCAAAAAGTAAGGCAAGGCTGAGATCTGTGTGTCTCTGGGCATAGTACTGTAGGAATAGCTAAGTTTTATCTGCAGTCCTCTCTTAGCATTAATGAAAACACTGCAATTCTTCTAAAGCCACTTATTTTTTAATGGCTTCTAGGTGTTAAAAGGCCATATTCTCCCGAAGAGAAGCATTAGTAAAATTTTACCAAGTTGTAGCAAACGCAATTCAAAAAAATCTCAAAAGGAAAACAACAAGTCTTTTCAACAACCTTTTAAAAGTCTGATTAATAAAACAAAAAGCCAAGATTGGACTGGGTTGTATTTTATCATTAAGTATTGTGCTTCTTACAAGTATATTTCCATTAATGATTCCATTTTACTACATTCTAAGATAACATCAGCTGAATATTTTTGAAGGATAGCAAAATTCTGCATTGCATTACATTTCCCTGAATGAAAAATATGCATTGTCAAAACATGCTTAAGATTGTTTAACACTAATGATACTGAACTTGAGGCACTGCTGAAGCAAGCAGACAGCTTGCTATCCTCCAGTGCACTGTATCAGTGAAGATGATGACTCTGAAAATGCAGCTGACAAATGATTATTCTTAAACCTCAAGTTAAGAAATGGCTGTTAAAGAAACCACAGTACCTGGAGAACCTGAGGTTCAAAAGCCAACGAGTTAGAGCTCATCAGGAAGTTGAGACAGGTAGCAGTAAGGAGTTGTAATAGTCGTTAAGTTAGGAAACAAAATAAAGCACATACAGATTAGAACAAAGGAAAAAAACTACGCTAAAGTTATTGAAAACAGATCTAACTACAAAGAATACAACACTAATGCAGTTAAGAGAAACCAGAGCGCAAGGAAACTTGGAGGTCTTTTTCAAAGTGCAGCCACCGCTGTATGCAGAAACAAGAAACTCAGGTATTTTCAAACATTGATGGTACATTTTTAAAATGAAATTATTTTTCCCTCTGTCTAGTATCCTCTTCTTTTCTGAACTGTTTCTTGCACAAAACTGTCATTACTAGATACTGGCTTGGATACCTGAACACCAGAGTACACCCTACCAATCAGCTTCTTGCTGGGCTGTATTACATTCTGGTAAATCCCTTCAAATCGGGGTTTTCAAAAGATGCTGCTTCTTTATAACACAAAAAATCTCCAAGTAGTTTTTTTCCCATTCTTTTAGTTCTATTATGCAAATTTACCTCGTTACACCTACAGAGATAGTATATTGCATGTTATATGCCCTACCATAGCCTACTGAGGTTATGACAACACTGTGCCAAAACCTCATAACTAACTACAGGGCTCCGCTCTCAACTGCAGGATTGATATCATGATGTGTTCTTTGCACATGAAAAAGGCAGATCAAGTTTTCTTGACAGTATAGGCTGTAAACTTCCATTTATTTAATGATAAGCATGCTCCCCTTTGGCAGCAGTTTATCACTGTGTTAATCTATGGTGTCATGTGCCTGGAACTGCTTACTTGGCAGAGAAAAAACAGTACCAGGGGATGGATAGCAACTGCACATGCTGTGTTTAAGGAGTCTCTATCAGCAAGTAGGGGGGGGGGGAAAAAAATAAGAGAAAATAATATAATAACCCAGTAATAGGACAAAATCCGTATCTAGAGTGGTAAAGATAGTTTTTCAAATAGAAGTTAATTCTAATTCAATTTCTGGTTCTCAAAAATGTAACCGTATCATCGTTAGAACAATATAGACAACAATAAATTTGAAAGTAATTTATTATATATTCAAAAGAAGAAGAATGTTGAGTTACTGCAAACTGTTTGAAGAAATGGAGGTGCAGAGAAAAGAAATTCTGAACAGGGAAATCCTTTCCAGAATTTTCGAAATTACCTGAAAAACAGAGCCCCAGAAACTTTACCCTAATGTTGCATAAAAGAACAGAAACCAAACAGCTTAGTAAAACAAACAAGGGATGAGAGATGGGAATGTAAAGAATTCTGCACAAAACAGAAAAATAGCAGTGCCAAGGGAAATAACAAGGACTTCTCAAGTGGGACCTTCAACCATGTGCTAGATTTCAGAGCCACCATGCTGTTAGTAGTTGCAATGATTAGTCAGTACAGACACGAAGAGTGAAAATACAAGCAGTTCTAACCCACCAGTTCTAGTAACAATTGTGAATTTGTGGAAATTGGTATTTTGCAGAATAAATCAATGATCACATGAAATAAAATTCTGGCTAACACCAGAAGAGATGTTACAGGAAGATAAAAGAACATGCATTGGATGAAACATTCAAACCCATACTAATACCTCCCACCCAAAATACACACCTCTGTTGCCTTCCATTTCAGTTCAGCCTCAAGTACAACCATAGGTTCAGGATGGAAAAGTGAGCACAGTAAGCCAAACAGAAATCCCACCCGCTGGCTCAGGGACCTTCTGTGCACATTGTCCAGAGCTCTGCTGTCCCTAACTCTTAATACTGGACACTTTCAAGGCTTGCTGGTGCAGTGACCACACGCTCCCTTCCCCTCTAGGAAACTTGTGAAAAAATATACTTCAACATGACCCACACTCTATGTATGCGAGTAGAACTCCAACTCCATGGGCCTGCTTACTCAAGTGCTTACCCAGATTCAAGTTAAGCACTTTGCTGAATCTCGGCCCACACTTCATAAAGATCTAAACATAATCAACCAATCTGTGACCCATGGTCTTACAGTTGGCCATGATTTTTTCAGTGTGCATTGTGAATAATGCTAATCCCAGTGCTGGCATACAAACACATTCAATAAGTGTAGCTCACAAACATGCAATGTAAACAGTCATACAGGCATGGAAAGAACCAGATGGGTTTTGAAGTGTTTCAGCAGCAGGCATGCTCAAGTCCACAGAGAATGTTCTCACTGTGGTGACTGCCACACATCTGTAACATCAGGAGTTGGTGCACAGCAAGCTCATTCACCAAATGAAGGGAAAAAGAATTTCCCCCAACAAACTCTGTGAATAGAATGATGTGCATGCATGCACATGTATCCTTTGTGCACAGAGATGGAACAAGTTCATATCTTCATCAGTCACCAGTCATTTTAGACAAAAGACAATCAAATTTCCCTCAGAGACATATTCCTAATTATCACAATCCTTAGATCCTACTTTGCCAATCTACTTTAAACCTATCACTACACATAAAACTTGTTGGTTTTGCAGTAAAAAAAAAGTGTGTGAGGGAATCAAGGACCTGAGAACTCAGACGTTTCTGTAAGAGGAATACTAAAGCTCTTTTCCAGGTGTGCTTATGACAAGATGAATGTGTATGACCTCTTTTACTGACAGGCTTTTGTTAAAACAGTATCATGTTGTTACTTGAAGAACATTTTCTCCTCTACAAATTAATGAACTAGCTAGTTTGGAATTCTCATGCTTTCTTCCTTTCCACGTTAACTGAGTTAAATTATGCGTCAGCTTCCATTCAGGAAAAATAAAAGTGCCTAGCCATGTCAGAGAGAACCTGAATTACTCCCTTTTTTTTGCACTCGCCATGTAAGTAGAGGGAGGACAAATAGCACTGTATAGGGGATTGAGTTTGTCTGCTTTTTTTTCCAAATCAGAAAATAATTTTCTAATTAATAACATTAAAAAGCTATTTAAAAATACCTCTCACCCAGTGAATTTGGAATACAGTTTGGTAAGCTAGAAAACTGCTTTGGTGTTTAAGAACCATTTTTCTATTTGAAAGCAATGTAATGACACACAGCTATAGGCAACTTTCCTCCAGTGTTTCCAAAACCTCTGCACTGACATTGTGCTCCCTTCTGTCTTAACCTGAAGACTATTGCAATAAATTCCTTCACAGAGATTTTGTCACTATCTGTGCACAACACTTTCTAGAATTTCTGCTGAGGCTCCAAGTCTTCTCCAAAGTAGGCTTTTATACCCTTGAGACCTCTCTAAATTGTGCAAATAGCAGGGCTGAATGTAATTCCACTTCTGGTTTCAGTGAAAAACATGATGTACCAAATTTTGCACACTTGACTGGCAAAACAGCCAAGCTAATAGGCATGAAGTCTCTATCTTTTCTTGCTTATCTGTTCAGTGGGACCTTCAGAGTCCTGTGTACCTGCTTGGTGTATGCCAGAAATAACCTAAGGGTATAGCTGATGTGAGTTTTACCTGGGGGGCCAACAGGACCTGGAGGTCCTGGAGATCCAGGTGGACCTTGACCACCAATGCCAGGGATGCCTGGTGGGCCTGGGAGTCCTGGTGGTCCACTTGGTCCAGGGTCACCTAAAAGAACATCCTTGTTTAGTAAATAACGAAGTCGGTTCAGAGACACTTGCTTTCAGAAGCAGAGTGCCTGCACATTGTACTTGAAATCTTGTCCTTGCATGCAAACAAATATGGATATGACAGGAAAAAACACACTTCAGAGGCTATTTCTGAAAGCCAGAGACTTGTCCTCACTCTGTGTGGAATGCATGCAGTTTACATTTCTAGGCTACACACAGAGACATGTTATTGCATCATAATCCACATCAAACTCAACAGATGCTCTCCAGCAAAGCTGGCATGCTCTGCAGTTCAATACAGACAATGATTAACAGCAGGAATTCATGAATTGCTAACCCACTGCGTGTTGAAGCACAGTGCATCTAAATGACAATTATTCTATTGAAAAAGTTTTGCCCCCATCTTAACATGATTTGTCTTTACAATACAGACTTTCAGATACTGACCCACAGGTGTTGGTATTTACTTGCTTGCTTGTCTTTTGAGAACACAAGCTTCCATTTACACAGGTGTGTCTGATTTGGAAAATGGACTCTGAAATAATTGCTCTAAAGTCAACACTGCTTTTATTTAACTGCCATATCACTCCCAGCTCATCTACATTTTTTAATGTTCAATAGGGAACAGAAAAGGGCAGAGTTTTCCATACCTTTGGGACCTGGAGTTCCATCAAAACCTGCCCGTCCTGGGAGACCAGGGTTTCCTGGGAAGCCAGGATCACCTTTCGGTCCTTGAACTCCTTTTGTGCCTGGTGGTCCTGGGGGTCCAGGTGGTCCTGGAACTCCAAATCCACGATCTCCCTATAACAAATTAACACATTTTTTTTTTAAAGGGATTTTTCTAAGTTTAGCTTCTCCTAAAAGTAGCAAAGAAAAAATGCCCACCATCTTAGAGTTCAATTTCTTTTTTTCCTACCCTCACTCAAACCTCAAGTAGAGAACGTGACTTCCCTGCCATCAAAAGCTGACAACAGGAGGTGAAATCCTCCCCGCCAACTTCCCACTGATGCAGAACCTCCTCTAAGAAAGTGAAGTTTAATATTAAACAAGCAAACACAGACCTTCTGTCCTGGGAAACCAGGTGGTCCAGGAGGTCCATCTAGACCAGGGCGACCTGGAGTTCCTGGAGCTCCAGGGGGTCCTGGAGTCCCTGGGAAACCTACACATGACATGGAGGTTAGGTCAGCAGAAGACAGAGAGCATTAGAACAACTCTTGCAGAAATGATTAGGGCCCATGAAAAGTAATCTCTGAAAAAACGTTCTATGCTAGCTCAAGCATACTTGAGGGGTACACCCATTTGGCTGAGATAACTTCTGAGTATAGAGTCTGCCACACAGGACGTCTGGGACTCCTCTCAGAAGAGGGCACTCCCCATGCTGTGTGCTCTAACAAAAATTACAAGCAATTCCCATCAGAAACATTAACATCTTGAGGCAGCATTTGGAGATCATTTATTGATTCAAGCTCAAACATTCATCATTTCCCAGAGTTTTACCCATTTACTTTTGTGTCCTTGATTTACTGAAAAACGTAAGCTACCATGAAGGAGCAGTACAGTGAAGAGAGGAATAAGAGCTCTGCAGGTTTTCTTCCTGATACTTCTGAAAGCATTATGAAGATGTATAAATTCAAGACAAAATTTTTTTAAAGGATTCTAGACACAGAACTCAACTCACTGGGAAAAAGTGAAGATACACAACCCTGTATGTCCCCTCTTTACAGCCAGTATAATACATTAACATACCTTTTGGGCCTGGTGGACCTGGAAGTCCAATGCCAGGAATACCAGGCTCTCCCTTTGCACCTGGGATGCCTGATAAGCCACGCTGACCTGGCTGACCAGGATCTCCTGTAAAAAGAAGAAAATCAACAGAGTTATCAAGAATCAGTCAGAATAAAAAAAGCTCTTGGAGTTCCCTGGATATCTAGTTGCTGATTTACCTGGAAGACCTGGGTCACCATTTCTTCCTGGAGGACCAGGGGGGCCAGGAACTCCTGGTTCTGTAATAGTCTGGCCAGGGTCACCTTTTGGACCTAAAACCAAAAAGAAATATGTATCACTCAGTAGGAGTTTCTTTTCTGTTTTCCTTTGAGCAGAGAAAGATGCTAGCCACATCCCAAACTTACAAAGAACTTAAACACCAGCAACACTTTACCCAATAAGCTATCTGCCTCTGAGCCCCATATAACACTTATAGGCTTAGAAGCACTGTTTTATGTTCATCAAAAGCAGTGGGGTGATTCTCCCCCTCTGCTCTCATGAGACCACACCTGCAGTGCTGGATCCAGGTCTGGGGCCCCCAACAGCAGAAGGACACGGAGCTGCTCAAACGGGGCCAGAGGAGGCCACGAAGATGCTGGGGAGGCTGGAGCAGCTCCCCTGGGGGGCCGGGCTGAGAGAGTTGGGGGGGTTCAGCCTGGAGAAGAGAAGGCTCCGGGGAGACATTCGAGTGGCCTCCCAGGGCTTAAAGGGGGGACAGGAAAGGTGGGGAGGGACTCTGGATCAGGAGGGTGGGGATAGGATGAGGTGTGACGGGTTTAAAACAAAAGAGGGTAGATTTAGATTAGATCTAAGGAAGAAATTCTTCCCTGTGCAGGTGGTGAGGTGCTGGCCCAAGGTGCCCAGAGAAGCTGTGGCTGCCCCCTCCCTGGAAGGATTCAAGGCCAGGTTGGACGGGGCTGGGAGCACCCTGGGCTCGGGGAAGGTGTCCCTGCCCGTGGCAGAGGGGTGGAACTGGATGATCTTTAAGGTCCCTTCCAACTTGAACCATTCCATGATTCTATGTTAAGACACGTCTCTTGAAATGTTATTTTTAATAGCTTTCTCCTAGGTATTATCATGTGAATAGTATTTTCTGTAGCTGACACCAGTACAACTTGATCAGGATCTGTATAGTTGACAAGAAAGTAACAAAAGCAAACTTGTCAAACCAAACATTTGTTTTCAAAAACTGCTGTAGTTGCAGTATTATTAAGCATAAGCCAGATGGTAGTTACAACGCATTTCCATTACAGTCAGTCAGGAAGGAGAACCTTCTCTAGACATCAGAGCAGAAGGTTGTCACATGCCTATAGTAACATAATATAGCACAAATTCTGCTCACTTCGTGATTACGTGGTGACCTTCTTTAAGGAAGCTTATAAACACTAGGTCTTATAACACCTTTGGAAAAATCTTAAAAGCAGCATTATGTTCTGAGAACTATCTGGAGTAAAAGGACAAAATGTGATTTTACAGTTTTTGTTCAATAGCACACAGAGACCAACTCACCAGGAACTCCAGGAGGCCCTGGACGGCCTGATACACCTTGGATGCCCTTTTCACCAGGTGAACCTTGTGGGCCAAAACCAGGAGGTCCAGGAAGTCCTTTGTCTCCAGGAAGACCTGGTATTCCTGGATCACCCGGAATACCCATTTCTCCTTTGAATGCAACACTGCCCTGGAAAAACGAAGAGCAGGATGGCGAAGTGGAACATGTATTTACTAGCAAAGGATTAAAGTGTTTCATTGCTTCTGTTTTGAAACTCTTTGGCCATTTCCATCCTTCTAGCTCTCAAGGCCATTAGCTGTCTGCATCTTACTAGCATGGTAGAGATAAGGTCTAAACCTGGCTACTTAATTCTTTACACTACATAGGTGAAATGTAGACCAATGGCAGAAAGGACCATCTGACACTACCCAAGAGATGTCCCAGCTTATTTTTAGAGGCATCGACACATTCAGGAAGTACCTGATTGGCATCTACTGTAGAGAATTACTGCATTAGTCTCATTCAGAAAAAAGTGTATTTGCCAGCCTTCTTATCTACACTATGTCAAATGCATCCAGGACTTCCCAAAACATCTGTCCAATCAAAGACCGCATAAAATGGAAACTCACAGGCTCCCCCTTAGGGCCAGGTAGACCTGGCAGTCCATCTCGTCCAGGAGTGCCATCTATGCCAGGAAGACCTGGAGGTCCTGGGAAGCCAGGGTCTCCTTTGTCACCTTTCATTCTTGGAGAAGTCAGGACATCCCCTGGGTCTCCTTTAGGACCAGGTCTCCCAGGAGCACCTGGGGACCCTGGAAATCCCTGAGGGGGAAAGAAAAAATTTAGTTTTTCTTTCACTTCCTCTCTGAGATTGGCACAGTATAAGAATTATGCATTCAAGCTAGTTATGGACAAAAAAAAGAAGTATTAGACAAGAATTCATATGTACTGTGCACAGATCTCTCAAACTCACAAGACAAATGAGACACTATTTTCCCACCAGAACATAACACCACCACTTACTGGTGGTCCTACAAGGCCAGTTAATCCAGGAAGCCCCTTTTCACCTTTTGGTCCAGGAAAACCAGGAGAACCTGAGTAGTACAGAAAAACACAAAACCATAGAAACTGTAAATATCAAGCCTTCTGTTTGCATAAGATAATAGCTAAGTTGTTTTAAAACCAGGCAAGGTTTAGTCTGTTTTTTTTGGAGAGCTTGATTTTATTTGAGCAGAACAAAATTTGCAACTCTAAGTTAAAGCAGTAGTGTCAAAAAATGTCACACTTTTTAAAAGCTCCAGCTCCTCTATCATTTCAGGAATAGCGAGTAGGAGAAGTTAATTTCTCTCTTTCAGTTAAACCTATAGCAGACCATAAACCTTCCATACACAGAATGCTTGCAAGTCTGTCTTTGATAAGAGAAATTTTTTTTGAAAGACTGGATTTTCAGGAAATGGGTGATTGTTTTACATGTACGCATCCAACTTGTTTCTTTCTAACACTCCCCAACAGTGCAAAATAGAACATGCACCAACTATATACTGGAGCTGGCAACTGTGCATCTGAATTTGTACACAATGCACAGGTATATCATTATCATTATACACAGATACTCAGATACAAAAGTGACTTTATGGAATATATTAAGAAAACAGTGATGACTACAGCCTTACCTGGACTACCTGGAGGTCCTGGTGGTCCTCTCTCCCCAGGAGGCCCAGTTATCCCAGTTCCTATGCAATTGAAGCATGTGTCTCCTTGATCACCTAAAAAGATTTGTATTGATAAAGATTGCTGGGGCATCAGATCTCAGAAAACTTTAAAAGAATTCAGCACAACACTAATTGTTTTCTTGCTACTGATCTATAATACCAGGTCCAAAATGACTATTTTATGTAATTATACGGTTGCTTAAATATTAGGCTACCCCCATGAAAGCCAGACTGAAGTTTTTTGGTTGCTAGCAGTCAGACAACCAGTATCAGATATTATTAGAATTTATTTAAATGAATACAAAATAAATTAAAACAATAAAAAAATGCTTTCAATAATAATAAACAAAACTGTGGACATTTGCTCAGCAAGAGTCCTATTCTAAAGCAGGTACTTGGTACCTCAAACTACAGCTCTAAATCACATATATCAAAATTACAAACTTTAATTAAACTTCAAGAGTGCAAAATAAATACTGGGAATGTTTAATTGTTTTCACAATAGGCTAAACTTATTTCATTAAAAAAAAAGAATGGTTTCAAGAAGCTTAGGACTTTGCTTCACATACATGACATTCCTTCACATTTCTGACATTCATCAATGTAGTATTTAAGCACTTCATTTAGGTTAATTAATGAATCCTTACAATCTCTATGAGAAAAAAAGACTTCTGCGTAAAAGGAGTACAAAATTAAGTGAGATGCCCAAGGTCATCTAGGATGTCCATGGTTGAGCTAGGAAAAGGTTCTCACTTACCCATATCAGCATCCTCATTGCAAGGTTGTCTTTTTGGAAACAAGGATACACATTAAAGATGTCTGTCTTTTGTTTACCAAACAAACAAACTCATTGTAGATTGACCAACTCAGATCAGGAATCTTGCGTTTATAATTTCAATGTTGCTTTCCATAAGAACAGGCAAATTTATTCATGAAATAAGTATTAAACTTTTTCACATAGAATTGGCAGCTGCTGTTACAAAGCACTTTGTGTCTATCTACCTGGAAGGTACTCATAAACCTCAAGTTTCATTTTACTTTAATCATGATCCATGCTAGGCCCTAGCATTGGTTGTATCCTCAGCCACTCTGAGATTCCTGTGCATTAGCACTAGATGAAGGACAAATTGCTATGACCAAATCAAACAGCTTTCACAGAAAGAAAAAATATCTGCACTCAGTCCTACTGGGAAGAGACGCTGTTTATCCCTATTTAATACAGGCTTTACATTTTTAAACAAGCTCTAACAAAAAGAGAAAAATCTAGATAGCCATGACACTGTACCTTTTTGGCCTCGCTCCCCTGTAAAGCCTTGTTGTCCTGGAATTCCTGGAGGACCTGGCGGCCCCTGCTCACATAACCCTTCACCTAAGGGGAAGCAGGAGAGGTTTAATGATCAATTTGTGTTAGACTGACAGCATCACTGAACACATGTATTCAGTAAAAAAACGTACTACCTAGTATTTGTGTGGATATTCTAATACACCCATATAATCACAGTCCAAACATTTTGGCAATTCAGACAGAGGACTGCTAATGAAAACCCATGAACGTAATCCAATCTCCAAAGGAAACAATCAGTGATAGTACACAACAGTCATCAGTTCCCCTTCACAACCTCAACTATCTTCCACTACTTCCCACAGCGTACACGCTCTCATCTCTACATTACATTCTGCTGTTCAGCCTCATATCATAAAAGCACGAGTATGAAATATAGGCATTAAATTGCTCCCTGAACCACGCATTCTCCCCTCTCCACTATAGCTTTCCAGTTTTCTTATCCAATCTCCCATTCCCTACTTCCCTCATACCAAAAAGGAGCTAAGAGCCTTCATCCAAAGCGTCCGCTCCATTATAACTTTGTGTGGTCTACACGCTAAAGTATTTATGAAATGAAACTGGAATTCTGTGAAAAATTCTTCCTTTGACTCTCATGGTATCACAACTTTTAGGATGGAATAGTCCCTCCAAGGATTTATTAAATCACATAATGAAAACTAAATTTACTGAAGACACTGTCAAAGTGGTTACCCTCCTGCTTTAAGCACAAATTTTGATGTAACTTTCATTAGTTGGATTAAATAGGATGTAACATAAATTGGAAAAATACTTAGTTTTGTGCATCTGGGCCAAATCTGCTTGGCCCTGGAGGACTGTCATTATCACGTGAGTTAGCACAAACATCCCTCAAATCTGACAGGATTTTTTTCTCTCCAGTCTAGCTGAATCTCACATATAAGTCACAGCAGAGCTCATCTGAGGTAGAAAGAGTCATGATAAAGCCAGACTGCAACTCGCACCACTAAGTTCCCAAATTCCGTAATTGTCCCTAAGGCTAGAGTTCCCCTACAAATGTCCTGAGTTGCAATGGGAGCAACTTGGAGAATATACACAAATAGTTTGAAATTCTTGTGGACTTCAGCTGTTGGTAAACTACATCTTTGGAGGTAGAATTAAATAAGAAAAAGAAAAAAAAAAGCAAGAAAGAGAAAAAAAAAAAAGCATGTGAAAGCTGTTCCAGTCTCTTCTACTTGCTATCTATGTGGTCATCACTTACCAGGAGGAATGGATGGTGCAGGTGGCCCTGGGGGACCTGGTGGTCCTGGAGGTCCTCGTGGCCCATCAAGTCCTGGTTGCCCAGGAATAGAAACACCAGGTAAACCCGGATCTCCCTTCTGTCCTCTCTCACCAGGTAAGCCAGGTGGGCCAGGAGGTCCAACGGTAGTGATCCCTAAGATGGGAATAACTTAGTTCCTTGATAACTGCTACAGATAAGACTGAAAATTTTCAAGTAAGTACTCTGTAACATTTCTTTTATGGAATCAAACATCATGTTGGTGTGCAGTGTTGTGCATATGTGCATTTTGCATTTTCAGAGGTTTTTGTTTGAAAACTTGACCTGAGACTCAACAACTAAGTTTATGAAGAAAAAAAAAAAACACCACAAAACAGGACTAATGAAAGGAAGCATTGATGAAAAAAGGAACATTTACAAACTGTAATATTAGAATTATAACGTTTTCTGTGCATGTAATAAATCAAATACAGGTGTCACTGCTCACACCCACCATAGACTCAGATCAACTCCTCCTTTAGCACTGGTCAATATAAAGCAGAGACTAGGTCTGACAGCCAGGTACTACTGGTACACAATACTTTCTCTGTGTAATGCAATGGATAAGGCATGTTATAGTTAAGTGTTATGAGATAAAATGCCGCTAAGACTATTAAGCTATTATGTGTTTGACATCCTTGATGATTAGCATCCTCTGTTTGGCACACAGGAGCAATGAACATTCAGAATTTCTCATATTATACCCACAAGCTAAGGACCACCCTTCAAGCTCACATGTAGCTCTAAATATTTCTGCCTTCACTTTCTGCTCAGTCCATCTGTGAAAAGGAGTGTGAAAGACTGGGAAGCTAAATATCCCTTCAGATGTTTGCATGTACAACTTATTTTAATGCTTGCATTCCTACCTGGAGAACCTGGCAAGCCAGGTGGGCCTGGCCTACCAGAGAATCCACGCTCCCCTTTGGCTCCTGGAAGTCCTGGCAATCCTTTGCTACCTTTTGGTCCCACTGTTGCATCAATGCCTGGTCTTGAAATGACCTGTAAATGTTTCATGTTCATGTGAAAACAACTTGCCAAGAAAAGTCACTGGAACAGTAAACAGACGTGAGGGAGGAAAAGTTCAACATACTTTAAACCTTATACCAATGGCAGGATGCTTCTCCTGCTCCACTGAATTACCAGGTAAAAGTCCAGTAAAGAGCACTCCTCAATAAGAAGCACTTTTACTGCCAAGGCAACATGATTAGAACAGGTTTCAGTGAAGCTGACTCAGCTTCTGCTGGTTTGAGGTTATATAGTCTAGCCTTGTGTTTGTAACCTAGCAAATCTTAGAGCACAGAATCTATCTTGAAAGAAGGAAACAATTGTTTCTATCAGTGAATATATGAAATCTTTACTGGTTCTGTTATTGTTACACTTGAAGAAAGGACTCAGTCACCAAAGACCTATGATGAAACAACACTGTCAACCAAATGCAGAAAGAAAAGAGAGGATCAGCAACTTACAACTCCAGGAGGACCAGGGGGACCAATGTCACCTTTTTCACCCTACCAATGAAATTAAGAGTACTTTTTATACTGTGTATTAGTACACAAGAAAGTTATCACAAATATTCCACAACACTGTCATAGCATAGGCAATGCAATTACTACTCAGCCAGAACTGACCTCAGTGATGGCAGATTTTCAAGCTACTGTAGCAGTGACAAAAAATCATGGCATACCTTTTCACCCTCTCTTCCTGGAGCACCATCTATTCCAGGCCCACCAGGTAAGCCCTTCAAGAAAAGAGAAAGATATTCACACTCAGATCTCCTCCATATCAGAAGAAAAGTTTAAGAAGTCAGCTTAGATTAAAAATGTATGAGTTACTCACATCCCTACCAGGCTGACCAGGTTCTCCATCTTTGCCAGGCTTTCCCTTCAAAGACATAAACACGCATTGAAATAAAATGCTTCAGTGGTAAAGAATTCTTATGGAAACTGTGTTACCTATTTCCCATTTTTCAATAAACCAAACTTTCTCTAGAAAGCAGTCCTTGTGACAAATATGTCAAAGACATCAACCAAGTATAATCAATGGAGTTATCTAAACTGAGGCTTTCATTTGGAAAACCAGAGCACAAAAACACGACAAGTCTCAATGTTGTGCAAATACAGCACAAAATAATCTCCAGTTAACTACTGTTGATACACTGGGTTTAATAACTCCCTTTATTCTAACATTAGAGAAATCCTTTATTTGGAGAACAGATTCTAACTCCCTAAATACTAGAACATTATACTTAATTAGGAAATTACTATAATGTGACCAGTGAAGTAAAATACAAACACTTTTGTGTTTGAATTTTAACTCTCCTATAAACCAAATGAAATTTTCTGAAGAATAGTATCAACAAAAATATAAAGTGCAATTCTGCTCAAAGAAGTGACTTCTAAATGCCACATATTCTCGCCGAACAGATTTGCCACTGCTGCAATAAAAGTAGTGAAAGCTCCACTTTATTCCAGACCATTCACTGAGCAAGACAAATAGAATTCTATCATTAGTATTAGAGAAGCAGTTATGTATGGGTGACACCTGCTGGAACATAACTACAAGAGGTGATTAAGTTTCACCACAGTGCCAAGATCAACTTCCAATCATCGAGAAGTTGGTAAGATTGACAGATACAGTGTATTAGAGTATAATGTGATTTGTGAAGTCTTTATTATTAGTGATGAGTTCAGATTCTCAAAATTAGGTTTTAAGATTTCCTGTGAATTTGCAGAACTCCCTGTTTGACTACATATACTGACATTTTTACGAGTTTATCTGAAATGGGTTTGAGCCACACAGAATCATATGTAGCCCTAAAAGGCAGCTTGAGAGTAACTTAATAGCAAAACTGCAATACAAGTATGCAATATGACCAAATGCACAGTAATAAAAACAAACAAAAATGTTGGTAAACAAGCTTTTGGCAAAAGGCATCTGTCATATCCTCTCAGGACTTCTATCTTTTCAGATCTTTGTAAATTTATGTGGTTCCCATTTACTTTTGCAGGGAGAAGCAACTTGGAAAATACAATCCAAAAACCACTCAAAATATGAGAATTTTGGCTTTGTAAAGCTGCCTCTTTTGTTATGCTCCTTAAAGGCAGAAAATCAAAGCCCTCCTATAAATCCCAGCAATTAAGAAGGATTTGATCTAGAATACCAAATGTTTGTTTCCATTCTATTTATTTCCTCGGGAAGTTGGAAAACCTATTACCAACATGTTTCTAAACAGTGTTTATATATTGTCCAATTAACCTGAGAAAGGCATGTGCCTTGGTTTTCAAAGGGACCAAATATGTTGATGAAATCATGGGTTCAGTAGCTGTGAAAGTGAAAATACAGAATGCTTTGAGCTGGTAGCAGCTTGTCTTCTCTTTGCTGGCTTAGCCCATGTTTTTTTCATCCTTTTTCATAGCACTTCTATGATCTTCCTGAGATTTCCTGAGCTGTGATATCCAAATAAATTTAAATTACAGGATGGATTTGAGTCTAGACAGGAACAAATTGACTCACACTATCCCTAGATGCAGTCATCTTGACTAGCCCCCTCCCCAGAGAGCACATAAACTGAAGTAGTCTCTTGGGAAGTGACAAATGGACTTTTGGTGTTAATGCATTGTTTAGAGACTTGATTTTCTGATGCAACTCACAAGTAAACCCACTGAGAATGAGTTTACATAGACCAGCTTAAATATATCTCATGCTGCTTGGCAACCCAGTACATAGCAAAGTGAATGAAGACTCTAAAAGGAAACAGAAAACTGCTGCTTCAGTCAAGCAGTCCTACAACTTTGAAGGTTTCCACATGTAACCAGATAACATCATTCAAATTATTTTCTCCTGCTCCAAAACTAAGATCTACATGTAGATAATTCTATCAGAAAGCACCGAGAGATCCATAGCTAGAAGCACTTACTTGAACCAGATGTGTCTACTAGCTTTCCAGGTTATGGAAAAAAAAAAAAAGGAAGTCTCTTACCCAGAGGCTGATGGCCCCACCTGAATTCAACATTTGCTTAATTCTCAAAGATAACACTGATTGGAAAGATAAATGTTTGGTTAAACAGACTACTTACTCTTTTGCCTGGTTCTCCTTGCTCACCTTTTTCACCTTTTACGCCACCGGGAAGACCCTGGACACACAAACATCATCTTACACTGAGCCCACAAGCCAGAGTAGAATGAATTTACAGTTCTGATATGGATACAACAGAAAAGAACTAAAAGAGGACTACTCACAGGAGGGCCTTGTGGCCCAGGAAGACCTGGTGGGCCTGGATCACCTGGAATACCCTGTCAAGCATGGGCAAAGAAAAAGAGGATTAAAGTTTCCATCACTCCCTAGTAGTTCAGTTGATTTTTTTTTTTTTTTTTTAAAGTACAATTTTTTTTTGCTGTTATTTAGATTTCCAAGTACTACAAAAAGTAAAGGATCATATTTATTCTTTCTTTGTGTAGAACTTCAAGTGCATCTATAAATTTTATTAAACGCTCATCCTGTTTATTTAGATGATTCACTCCACTAAGAGACAACTGCCTCCTGCGTGCACTGCAGCAGCTGGTTTGGTGGCCTGCAGCTGCTATACAAAAATAAAAAGAAGAAAGAAAAAAAAATGGAAAGAAATAAAGAACAAATGCCAGATCCTGCTGAAATTATGGGAGCAACACTCATTAGATTGCTGGTAATTGCTGAAGTTGTGAGGCCATCAGGATCAATAACATCCTGGTCAAGTGTCACAAGATCACTGTGTTAAAAATTCAGGGTTTGTATTTTGTCTTACACACCTTTCTACAAGTTCTTAAATTTCCTCACCATTAACCTAAATAAAAGCTACAGGCTACTGAATCCACAAAAGGTTTCTATGCAGAGTTTCTGTTATTTTCTTTGAGGCCTACAAGCCCATCTATACACTTGATTTTTCAGTCAGAGATCACAGATGGAGGTACACACCAGAACTTTGTGAGCATTTCACAAAAAAACAATTGTAATGTTGAAATTTTTTACTGATTGGGTACTACCAAGCATAATAAAAACAAATTTTTAAACTTTGAAATCATTGTTAATGTTGGTCAAAGGCAATGCACTCAGACAGTGTTTGTAAGTCTTAGTACTTCAAAAGGAATGTAGTTAAAATGCTTTTATTTTGTACATTTATATAACTTAATGCCAGTATAATTAGTCCTTCAGAAATCCCCGATGACAGAGGCAAATTACTCTGATCCTAATAAAGTCAGATGAATTTTTGCTTCAGCTACAGTGTGGTCAAAATGTCACCTTGTTTTTTCTTAGAACTATAAAGACACACATGCTGCTCTTTACCTTCTGTCTTACAATCCAGTAAAGCAGAGACAAAGCCAGAGACTGAGACTGTTTTAGGATGATTGTGCATTGCAAACGTACATCAGTGGATAGCTCTAGGTAATGCCTTAATGGTGCCTAATTTTTCTGAAAGGAAGGGTAACAAATGGTTTGGATCAAGATGAAGGGCAGAATTGTCCTGTACCCTACTGAAATAAAATACTGGTGCAGACCAAAGCTCTCTCCTCTGACACATATCCCAAGATGAAAAGGTAGAAAAGAAGAAACTGATGCAATACAGATGGAGGAAACTAATAGTTTATAGGCTCAGTTACCACAGTGACATTTATAAAATAACCAGAGCATAAAGATGATCGCTCACCACTCTTGCCTCAAAATATCTACCTCAACGCTTCTATTACTTAGGGTGGTATTTGAGAATACCATGGAGACTTCAAAGAAAACATGAAATCCAGGCACCCATGATCCTGCTGGTGCTGCCCAGGCTGTCTATGACTGGCACCCAGAATCAAATAGTACTGTGAAATTTTCCCCAGTGAAGAAAGGAAACAAATGTAGTAACTTTAAAAATTGCAACTCTCCCAGTGACTTTTTGGCATTTATGGGTGGGGAAGGATCCATACAAATAAAACCAACAGTTCAAGCTTACTGTTACAATATGTCTTGATATTTACTTTTGAGAGGCCAGAAAGAAGGAAAGCACTTTATTCAGACCACAAGGAAGAAAGATCTTGAGGCATCAATAATGTCAAAAAAAAAAAAAAAGGAGAAAAGAAGAAAAAGAAAGAAAGAAGAAAAGGAATTGAATTAACATTTTTGAAAGACTTTCACAATGGGTGACTTAGCTGGTTATTTAATGGGAATCTGAATCCCCAAACAGCTTTGAAAACTGCAGTCTGGGTGTTCCAAGGAATAAGAATATTTTAACTGCTTCTACTGTTACTGTGAACTTTCTTTAAGACAGTTTCTTAAGAATAGTTATTTTACTAAGGGAAGTAACTGAACTAATGTGACTGGCATGCTTTCTATTAAAGGAAAAGTACCCTGGCCTGAAATATTCAGTACTTTGAGAAAAATAATAGAACCTCTGCAGTAAGCAGGATGTGAGTATGTATGAGCCAAACCAATAGAGGCTGCAGCTTGACCACATGCTCATTGCAGATGCATATAGTTTCCCACTCACCTGATCTCCTTTCTGAAACTCAATGTCATTTGGTCTCTTCTGTTCTCCAATTTGTCCTGGTGGCCCTGGAGGTCCCTGAAGACCTTGTTCACCCTAATGTGCAAGAAGACAGCAGTTTGTTACAGTCAGTACAAGACAAAATGTCATGCATAAGTATTTTGAAAGTAATAAGCAAAAATATCATGATCACCTACTCACTTTTTCACCTTTCGGTCCTTGGAAATTCAAACCCATATTACCCTGCAAAAAGTATAACTCATCAGCCCTTAGAAATCACAAATGAACAAAAGGGAAAACAAATGAATGGAAAGCAAAACAAAACAGTCCACCACCACCACCATCAATGAGGGAAAGAAAATACCTTAGGTCCTGGCAGCCCTGGTGGACCAGGAGGTCCCTATTAAAAAAGGAAACAAAAAAAAAAAGTCAGTTCAAAACACCTTATATGCCCCCTTGTGGAAAAAAAATAACAGAACAATGTTGCCCACGTTGACAAAGCACTTTGCCTTCCTCTGAGAGCTCTTCCTCATGCTATTCACCTTCACACATGTGTGAGAAAGCCAAATGAAATTAAACAGTCAGGTATTAAACATTAAGGAAAGAATCATCCTGGTCTAAATAAGCTAAATCTTGTCCCTCAGGTTTCACACAAATAAGGAGCCTGCACAAAGATTCAGCCTGATTTAAAGCAAGAAGAGGTCTGGGAACAGGCTGTTCCAAACGTATCACGTTTAAATGTGCGCAGTAGCAGCTCCAGGGTGAACTGAATGCACGGCTGCTATTATCTTTATACCAAACCTTGACTACCAAGATCTCTGCACTTTACTGACCTGCTTCCGAGCACATGAAACAAAGAAGTAACCAACCCATTTAACACTTCATGGGTGACAGGTTAAAGAAACTTACTGTCAAACCTGGGGGCCCTGGAGGCCCAACTGGACCTGGTATTCCCATGGAGCCGGGTGGGCCCTGTTGAGAAAGTGGAGGAGGCTATCAGAGAGGCACCTTCATAAAAAACCAAACCAAAGCAAACCAGTGAGACCTTTAAGGTCAAAAAACCCCAACAGCTGGCACCCCATACAGGTCAAATCAAAGTAGCTGACCACTGACCTACCAATCTGCCCTTGTGGAAAGGCCTAAAGGAATGTACATCATGTTAGGAGCGTTCTGCTCTCAACCTCAATACATCTCTTTGGCTTGGACAAGGGAATGCTTTTTTTTGTTTGTTTTGAACTACTTTTGTGCTTTCTTTCTCTTCATGCACTGAGAGAGAACAACAAAACACTTTGTGTTTGTGATTCCTCCCAGCCAGAAACAGACAATGGGGAAGCACAGATCAGAGGAACAGAAATGCTAACAGGCTCAGTCTGGTCAGAATAGCCTGGGGCTTGCCTCTCTGTACCAGGAAATGGGAGTCTCTGGCTTCTGTCCAGTCCAGGCTGATAGACTCATTTTCTGCTCTCCTTGTTCTTCCACTAAAGCAATGAATGGCTCAGTGGGGAAGCACAGGGCCTGGAGTCACTAACTGTTTTCACAGAAGACAGCTGGGAGAATAGAAACACTGTTCAGGAGGTGCAACATGAGGAGAACAGCTGAGACATTGCCCTCTCTTCCCACCATCCAAAATAGTGGCTACAGCCCAGAAAGGCAGATGTTCCTTGCTTTACCTCAGGGTGAAGAAGGGAAGGGAAGTCCAGAACTGATATAGAGAATGTCTGGGAACTGAGAACCGGCAGGGGAAACCGAGAAGCAAGTCAGTAACTGTGAGTACTGCTGTCTGCTGGATAACACTTTCCTGACCAGGGGTCCATTCTGGCCTCTGTAGGCCACCCTATTAAAAGCAATATGGAAGCACTTATTTTCCCTCACACCATAAACTAGAGGTACGTTAAATGTGAGCCCTGCTTCTCCACATAAACATATGGGTCCCCTGGCACCAAATGTTCTGATTGGGCTGTAACGAAAATACTTTTCACGTTATCTTTTTGGCAGAATACAACTTAATAGTACTTTACACAACTTACAGGTATGCCTGGAAGTCCTGGAAATCCTGGGTCACCCTTCTGTCCTGGCAGCGAGGATGTAATTACTTCACCTGCTTCACCCTAGAAGAAAAAGAGCTAACTTTAATTAATAGAACATTTTACAATTCTTTACCACCATTCTGACTCTAAAGGACACATCATGTCTCTTAAGACTCTGAGAGGCTCACTTATGCTACACCCTAGCAGTACTCTTTAATATAAGTACTAGATTCTCCAAGAATACCTCTTTTTTTGGAGAGATAAGGAGTCATTAAATGGCTAAACTACCAGGTATTAAAACCTCTCTTTTTATATATACAAATATATCAGTATTGATTTAAATTCAAAAGATTAGGGGATTGAAATACAAATGTTTCACAAAAGAAAGACATTCTAGCTTCACGTGAAAGCACTAGATAGGACACAACAGAAAAAAGGCTCATTCAGCTTTTTCCAATGTCTCACCTCATGAGATTAATGCTAAGTATGCTGTTACAACAGTCATCCTTCATGTTCTATATTGAAGCTAAGTTTCTTACTGATTTCAGGGAAGATTTTTGTTTTAAAAGTATATGTTCTGATCAGTTTGCCTTTTAATATCTTTAGAACAACTGGGAAGAAAAGGAGCTGAGAAGAACAATTCATCTTAATAGTCACATTTTCCCAGCACTAGTGTTACGCTGTCCTCTCAGGAGTTTATTGTAATATTTCTGTGGGTCAAGTTTCCTTTCAGGTGGATATGAACCCAAACTGACATTTTGGCCCATGCTCAACTCGGTCAAGGATACAACAAAAAAAATCCCCTTAAAAAATAAAAGGGGTCCTTAAGGTCCAAAATCAGATTATGAGACTACGTTAGGAGAAAAAGCCATCTAAGTAGTAATCTATACAGTAAAAAGCATGGTTCCAAAAGGCACATAAAATGTTGCACTATTCTCTTCACCAGATACTTTGAGTTGTTCTTGCTTAGTCTCTAGTAGTGTTCTTGAGCATGCACAGGTAGACCACTGGTGTATTTGGGTGTTTGTAGGCATTTTGCTGACTTGATGCCTCACTACACAAACACTGTCCCTCACACTCCCAACAAGCTTCAGAAAACAGTCTGCTACATCTGGAACGACTGACCCAAACTGAGTAAAGCTACTGCAGAATTTCCAGTTAGTTGCACAGGTGTGGCTGAGAAATACTAAGCTTTCTGCAGAATGTCACTCCAGATTCAAGTGGATGCACATGGTTGTGCATAAAAGCAAGCAGGTTACTTATGCCAGATCACACTGCACACCCATATCTGGTTAGTACTTCGACGTGTGCGTACACAACACTTACCTTCATACCTGGCAGACCAGGGGGTCCCTTTGTTTAAAAGGAACAAAAAATAAAAGAAAGATCAATATAAATAAATCATTGGTATATTAGTTGCAAGCCACTGATTAGATCTACACCGTGAGGCAAGAATTAAAGATAGAAATCTTTAAATATGAAACTAGAGAAAATACATTTTTCATACTCTTTAATCAAACGGTAAAGTTAGAGAAGTACTTTCACAGTGAATGTTGAGCATTAAAGGGACTACATTTCCATTTTCTAGCAATTTGTGTCTTTATCGCCTCCTATTATCCAACCTGCCTATTACATTTCTTTTTGTTTGTACTTTGGTTCTGACAGTCACTTTGCTGTACAGCCTTGCGTTTTATAATGAAAATACCCTCCACGGTCTCTTTTTTCTGGCCCATAATTCACCAGTAAGACTCTTTAGATGTAGCAGATGACAGTAAGAAGGTCTTACTTCTCTGACACATATGCATGTATTTGTATTTTTCAGCAGGTGGCAAAGCATCTCAGCATGTGAGAAATCAAAGGGCTTTTTATTAGCTTTACCACAGCATGCAGCAGAAAAGCTCACTTCTATTGGACATCTAAAATATTCTGATTAACCATTAAAAAATTCATAGTCTTATTTATTAAAAGAACAACTGCAAAAAGAGGCTGATATTTATCTTATCTTTCACAGATCTACGTAGAAGTCTTTTAGTGGATTACAGGTAGCTGATACAGAAATCTTCTACTTACAGGAGGCCCTTGTAAACCAGGAAAACCTGGACTGCCTGGGAATCCACGTTCTCCCTTAGGGATGAAGAAAATTATTAGCCAAAACCAAATCAAAACATAATAAAAACGGATAAACAAATTTTAACTGAAAAGTCCAGTTTCATCGCTAGCTTATGACTCCAAAGTAGAAAACTGTATTGCAACAAGCTATAGGATAAACAGTTTGTTATATCACACAGTTGATTGAAACAGAACTTTGCACATTCAGATATGTCCACATACTTCCGGGCGAAGGACTATACTACAGAGATGGAAAACACACATAGTGCTACAGAAGATCAACTTCTCTTATAGAAAGATCATAATGTGAAGGTAAGTAACATGTGAGAATGAAAGTGACTCCTTGCAACAAGAATACTAAATCAGTATTTTCAAGGCAATATTATTAAAAATTAATAATTAAGAAGATCCACTGTTAGGTAATGAGTTTTCCTTGGTAACAAGAGTCTACTACAACGATGAGATGTACATGATCTAATTATCGGACACTCCTCTCAGTTGTTAGCTATAGAATTAAGGATTAGAACAAAGAATTTAAGTACATCGGCTGCAGAGTATAAATATTGTGTCTTGGTGCTGGCAACTTCTGGCAAAACATGTGCTTGAAGTACCAGACCATGACCCCTTTTCTCAGATGTGTGTGTAAGTCTGAATTATCTTAGAATTACCTGAGCAACTCAGTAACAGCAAATACTGCTGCACATAAACTAAACCTATTGGCTACTGCCAGAAGAACAAGAGCTCTTTATCATCTTATTGTTGCATTGTTAAGAATTTTAAAGGGGTTCCACCTTTGTTCCATTGCATCCTGGGATACCCTGAGGTCCTGGTGGCCCATCTTGTCCTGGTAATCCCTTTAAAGTGGAAAAGAAGAAAGAAGAGTTAGCTTGTAGGATGCTCTTCTGGGCCTGAAAGACACAAGGGAACAGATTTGTATTTATACAGCCCATTCCTACTCACAGGAAGTCCTGGTGTTCCTGGAAATCCTGGCAGCCCTGGTGGTCCCTAGAAGGAAATGAACCACATATGTTTTAAACAGTATGGTACAAATGGATGTACAAAAGGATCCACCAATATTTTACTAAATGTAACCTATTTGTGCATATGTAAAGAAAACCAGAAACATCTGAAATACCTGTAAAAAAAAGAATACTATGCTGGACAGCCATCAAGGTTCTTACCCTTCTTACAGGAAAATATCCATCAAAATATAGAGAAGACAATGCAGAACAACTAACATAATAGTGTGTAGATATATAGAGAAAATAAGTCACTCATGGTGTGAAAAATGGATGTGTCCCAGTGAGGTCAGAGATGCATCACCTGTCACCAGCTCAGGAATCTGACAAAAAGAAAAAGCAAAGGCACAAAGCCTAAAGGATTTCCAGACACATCAACCTCTCTCATATTGACCCTACATATACTCTGTCTACTTCAGAATAAATTGAAGCAAAGTTACTGACACTTGTTTAGGTCCTGTATAGCAAAACGGATCAAATAAGTACTGGGGCTACTCTCCCTAATGAGTTTAGGAAAGTAATACAAGCAGTACATAAGATTGTATTACTTATGCAATCTTATATTGCTTATAAAAAGTAATGCAAGCTCTTCTAACCGGTAGATAAATTACTCTTCAGGTTTAAGTTAATATTTTCCCCTCATAAATCACCGCTTCTGTGAGGACCCACTCAATGCCTGGCAATCTTTATCCTTAATTCCAATATATCACCCTAAAAGTGCACCAATACTTACTCTGATTCCTTTGGGTCCAATAGGCCCTGGAAGTCCATCATCGCCCTAAAAAACAAACCAACAAACCAACAAACAAAAAAATCCACACAAGTTCTCAATCTGCCTATCAAATTAAACTGCAAGCATGACAAAATTTCTTCTACATGTTTATTGTAAGTGGACTAAAAGTTATGCTAGTTGTCATTTCCTGAGTAAAAGGGTTCAAAATAATTTTATTTTGGGCATCGGACTTTGAATTGAAAAGTAGTTGTTACAGCTGATAAACCATGACTTACAGGAAATGTTTGTAAAAAAAAAAAAAAAAATCAAAGCTATTTAAGATTGCTTATAAGCAGGTATCTGTCATGAACTTTCATCAAATATCCTACAGTGACCTCTTGTGGGTAAAACATGATATACAAGATTGAATGTGAATGACACTGTACCATTATTTTGTGTTATAAGAATGCAGAACTTTGTATCAAAATATAATGAAAGTTTCTAGTCCAAGACCGCTCTGTTGTTTCACACTTGCTCTATCTAATTATTTTTTCCTTTAAGTGCAGACTTTCATTTTTTAATTATCACCTACCTATTTTTTTTTTTTTGCTTCTTTTTGATGTACTTCTGTTAGTTTATACTATAAGCATTTGCAAGGGCAATGGCAGATCTTGGATCATCTTGTGTATATTAAACATAAATGCATTCAGAGGAAGGCTTTTCGACATTTTAATGCTATATTTCACCATCTGAGGGTAATGATCTAATTCAATAGCAAATAAAAATAAACTGAAACCCTCCAGGGAAAGCAAGGAGCACACCTCAGTCATCTGTGCATAGGTTCAGGGAGGCCTTCATTTGCATTGCTCTACCCAAGGCCAGCCCAGGAATGCCACCAGGTGCAAACAGCAACCTACCTTTGTGGCAGGACCCCTCCAGGCAACTGACAGCCAAACACCACTCTTATCAGTAAACTACAGCCATGGAGTGCCTTATTGCAGGGACTAATAAAACTACATTACAGCACCTTGCCAAACCTGTTCTTTGACCTTAATCTGCAGCACCTAGTGAAAGGATACAAGCACACATGTAGTGTTTGCAAGTATGCGTGTAGGTGAAGAATAGGAAACTTAGAGCAATCTTTTTCCTCTAGTTGACTATTCAAACCAACCAAACAAAAAACCTATGTCATATCCCAACATCTGAAGATTCTGACTATTAAGTCAATAATAATCAGGAGTTCTAGAATGCTTTAGGATCAGCACTACAAGCAAGCTAAGACTACCTAGCATTTTCATGCTATTCAAGTGAACTGGGACTTACCTTGGAGCCTCTTGGACCAGGTGGTCCTTCTGGTCCTGGAAATCCAGGCAAACCTGGCTGTCCTTCCAAGCCTGGAAATCCCCTTTCACCCTACAAAAAGAAGAGGTGATCATGGAGGTGTAACATGACAAAAGCACAAGTTACGATAGAAAAACTCTGAAAACACATTATCTTTCCGGTTTTCTGTAGGAAGGCATCATATAGAAAACCAAACAAATGCTGTGATTAAACATCTCACCTGCTTAGATACAGAAATTCCTGAACATACACATACATTGGCTTTAATTGCACCACTTAAACAGGTTTCATAGAATGTTTATCCAGTATTTAAGTCACCTATTTACAAAAAATAATTCAGACATCTGTTTCTCCTGTGCTACTTAAATACATAGAACTCTCTCCCCTGCCTATAAAAACATAGCTTTATTAGTTACTAAGTCTCTCCTGAAAGAAAACTCACCTCTGCTGCAATACCTATAAAAACCCTCAGAAGGACATAGGTTGCTGCTATACCACAACTGTTTATTATTTCACAGGTGCAAGATATGCAAGATTGTCATTTGTAATATAAAAGCAACTGAGATCCTGGTCATGTTCTGTAGGCTAAGCATTATGCAAATACAGAACATAACCAGGGTTCCAGCCCAAAGCGTTTAAAATTTAAATCAAGTGAGAAAAACACAAGACAGCAAGGAAATAAGGTTTCTTTTTCACCTGTCACCTTCTGCTAAGATCATAAGCTCTCAAGCAGCAACCATATTTTGCTAAATACTTAAGCAATGATTAGCCATGATAGCCCATCAGCGGTGTAACAAATACCATACACCATCATAAGCCGCACTCTAACTTGTTAGCGTAAGTTAACCACATCACTTAGCTGCAGTTTCAGAAGATGCATAGCTGCAAATTCACAAAATATTTACTTTTACTCCTTGTATGTCATAGAATCACAAAAATCAGTAAATATTATATTTGAATCAGTACAGAAAAGTCAGGAAATACCAGAATTAATACACCTTTCTGTGCCTACATATATTACTGTACGCTTTTCAACTGCAGAAACAGATATTTCCTGTTACATCAGCCAGTATCTATAACTGCTTATGAAACAGACAGCTGTTCAGCATTATTCCTTATTACTCTACAATTAGGCTTGGTTTGCTTGGTAGGTTTGGTTCCTACCTGCTGAAAACCTTCTGTTTATTCACCATTTACCAATTATTTTTTCACAATAACTACAGGAACTGCCGAAGAAATGTTTCATCCTAACAAGCACCTTATTCACTAAGTGAGAACTGTGCAGGCTTTTGCACATTCTCTTTGAACCAATTCAGCCTAAACTTTTATTTTCTTGTACTGCCTCAGCAAGAATGGGAGTAGTAGCTCCCACACCTATCATCTGGCAGTCTACTGGCTGTGGCACTCTCTGGGAACTTGAAAGGTCCTGCCTAGCTCTCCTCGGGTGAAAGAACCGAACCAGCAATTGCACACCTTCAAGAAGACAGCAGCAAACTGAAGACTGGAGATTGCAAGCAGACAGAAGCATCTAACTGCAGCCTTGAGCACAATATGCAAAAGGCAGTATTAAGGCTTTGCTCATCTCCCCTTTATTTTCCATAAGCAGCTGCCTATGCTGAACATGACAGCATTGTTAAGTGTCATTCTTAAATCCTAATTTTCTCACTGTACTGCTTAGGTCGGTGCTCTGTATTCCACTGTGGGAGGCAGGAACTCGGAAGTTGCATTCAAAACATTTACAAGATGCTGAGATCTCACACGAATTTTCTGAGAAAGTAACAGGGCCTCTCTTCCTGCTTTCTCTTCCAGTGCTTGTTATACTAATTCCCTGGAAAAACAAGAGGAAAACCTTTTGGATGAGAGATTAAAGGTTGTGTGCAAGCAAGAGCTGCAACCTTCCAGGGAAACAACTATGCTGTACTTAGTCCTACCTCTACAGTGAGACTCAGAGGGATTCCTTGGAAAGGAATAGACAGCTCATTAACTGGTCTGCTAAAGTTGGTTTCCTATTAATTAAAATGTAAACATACTCCTCTGCTACTGTAGGTCACATATTGCTCTCTTATACAGGATAGACATCTTTTCTCCCCTGTGGAAATGCTGAAATTGCATCATAAATTGAAGCTAGCTTAGGTTTGACAGTCAGGGCCCAGATTGTCTTTTGGCACACAAAGTGCCAGGCTGTACTTTCACACAGAGCTATACAGCTGGCACGCTACCTCATCTGAAAAGCAAGACTGTGGAGGAGTGTTACTATCCCAGGCCAGAACATGAAAGGGTTAGTGTGTCCCTGAAGGAGACAGAATGAGGAATTTGGGAGTGCCAGATAAGGAAAACATTAGACAGAACCAGACTTTAGAGCAAGCTCTGGCAAGAACTGTGTGTGCACACAAAGGAAACACAGTTGTGTACAAAAGGCATGTCAGATGTGTCAGGTGCTAGCTAGGCTGCACAATGCCTAAATCTCAACTTGGTCACACTTCATATTTTTGTTAGAGAAAGTAACATCTGCAAATGGTAGTTAGAACAGACTTTTAGCAGAGGATTGGCCCTGTGTGTCATCTGAGGCTGAAGAACTGTTCTCTAAAATGCAACTACTCCGAAGTCTCCACTCTAAGCAGTCACAGAACTGGGAAGCCAAAGCCTTTAAAGTGAAGCCAATTAGCTATGCAAGATGAATACAGGAGACAACAGATGATGCTAGTAAACTGCACTACTGAAACTATGAAATGAGTATTTTCCAAGCCCACTTTGAAAGCAAGCAACAAAGAGAGCCTTGCATGAGGAAACTGTTGCAAAGTCAACTCCTGTGGAGTTTACCAGCAAATTGCCCCCACATGTGAACAGATGACTTGAAGGACTATGCTCAGGGATCCCACTAGACACTTCCCAAGGGAACTGTATCACTAGTTACAGAAGAAAGATACCATCATTACTTTTGATGAAAAAATTGGTTGGAGAAAGGAATGTGGGCAAGTTGGGTAGGGGGGAGAAACCAAGCTGATTCAGCTCTCTGGGATACAGATGATGTTGGGGGAACTTTTTAAATTGTTTTCTACTTCAATTGTGTATAGACAGATTCCATAAGTGAGAAGTTTTCAAACATTGCTTCTGCCTCCAGACTTCTCCTATTGCACACCTTGCATATAGCATACTGTTTTCATGAAGATTTGGATGCTACAAATTTTCCAGAAAAACTGCCTACTGCCTTGCAAGAACATACTGGAACTGAGTAGACATTTAAGGAGTTTTCCCAAAAAAGGACATTATATCTTTGGGAATGCAATGAAATTGAAATCCCTGGGTACTGTGCAATGTATTTTCTTATAGATGCAAAAACTGACAGTCACAAATGAGTTTCACTTGCTCAGGAAGAACCGAGGAAGTTTTCTACTTTTTGTTTCACAGTAGAAGCTATTAAAGAGAAACATAAATAGAAAAGGTTTAGGTCAACTCTGATCTCAACTTCCAGTCCTGGAAGTACAGGATTGTTTCCATAGCAGAATAAAGATGAATCAGCTATAAACCATCATTTCCTTGAGGAATGGGCAAGGAATCAGATTCTGATCTCAGTTGGTGATAAATCCAGAGTAGCTGGCAAAGTAATTGCCCTCAATCAGCTACACAGATGTGGCAAAACTGTCAGCTTAAGCTTGAACATGACTGTTGCTTGGGGGAGAACAAGAAAAAATAGTTGGGAAACACCCTAAAATTATGCATTCAGCTGCAGCAAGATATAGCCAATTAAACAGGGATACAGAAACATTTGGCCTAGTTCCCTGTACTCTAATAATAGGTCACAAGTATCTAAGAAATCAGGGATAGATATAGTTTTAAAGCATGCACAAGTAATTTACATATCTAAAATTTCTTCTTGAAACCTAAATATTTATAAATATACATTGTGGGAAAGTAGATTTATTTACATTGATGTAGTTACTCATGGGAAAAAGAAAAAGACTTTTAAAAAAGGAGCAAAAGTCTTTAGGAAAGCAGTAGTTGGACAGCCCACCTCGATGTCTGGCTGTAACCTTTGGCAGTAGAGGCACACACTTGGTTCCTGCCCTTGCTATGAAAACCGTGAATATCAGAAAGAGTCTAAAGACAGTTAACTATGGGTGGCTACTTTAGACTCACAAATGATGTAGTAACATTAAAATACGTACAGCATGGAAGAAGCAATGAAATAGCCTGCTGTATTATTCTCTCCCTTTCTAAATAGGGTGAAAATAACAGCTAACTCAGATTCCAATACTAGTCAACATAAATTCTTCCTCAGCTTGAAGAACACTGTCTAACTTAACAGAATTAGAACTAGAGTATCTAGACAAGACCTCATTCAAAACACACCAACCAGGCACAAACTGTAGTGTTAAATATCTAGTTTAATGCAATAAAGAAATCTCCTCTGACATGATCTGTATTCTTCAAAATACATCAAATTTCTTCGGAATATCGTCTGTGACTTCTTTTGTAAGATGGAACAGTTGACTTTTAATGGTCAGTGGTCACTTGCCAGGGTTGTAAACTTTTCATGATACAGGGCTGTACTTGTGCAGTTCAGGCTAACATTTATGAAGCACATACACAAATCATGTATTTATCCTTAACAATGATTAAAATATGAGAATTTGTAACTCTTTCTTAGCAATTTGTATCAAAGAGTGAAAAGAAAAGCTGAGCTTCAGTCACATCTGTGCTAGATTTTACCATGATAAAGGCAGAAGGAAATAGGTATCTTGAACACATGTACTGATAATTTTCTTCTGAGACTCAAAGCTCCAAGAATATACATCCAAATAATCCACGAATAAGTTATGCTTCCTCTGTAAAGGGTATCAATTTCTTGTAACTGCATACAAATGCAAAGTATCTGAAATGCCTTCACAGCTCAGATATTACAAGCTGTTCTTGAGAGAATCCCAGGTACCAAGCTTGTACAAGATCATACATTAGGAACTTGCAACCCAGTTGAGTCTCTGAAGTTGCACCCCTTTCATTGTGATCAACAGACCCAGTAAACTCAGTACCTTCTGAAATTCTTTAAGAGGCCATGAAATAGCCATGTGTAATAGCTAAAGAACAGCAGCTTAATCAGTTTGTTTAACTTAATTTGAATGGGCAGAACCCAACAGTCCTGCTCATCAAAAATAGCATAATGTATTTGCAGTTATTTTGAGCAGGAACTACATCTTAGGTGCTGTGAAAAACCACGGTCCCTCCCACCTTAAGACACATGTTTCTGTCACAGCTACACAAATAGCTGTGCTGCAACATAACTTGAAGGAACTGAGGGCTGAAAACTAACCTAGTTTACAAAGAAACTTGTTTTCAGTGAGATCAGTTCACTGACAGCTCTGAACATGGCCACACAAGCTCCAGAGGAGAAATAGGAATATCTAGCTAAGGTATGAAAGCCCATTGCAGCAGCAGCCTGTACTACCACTTGAAAGCAAAACTACAGCAGTCTTGGGGTACATGTCCTCTGAGCCACCAAGATGCATACCCCTTACTTGCTGTAGCCCTTAGCTCCATCTTCATCAGCTGCAGCAGCTGAGATTCAGTACCACCCCCCCAGTCTCTGTAGAGCTGATCTTAATCAGTATCTTTGGATCTTGCTTTCAGCTGAGGTAAAACCAGCCCAATAATCCACAAGTCTTACTGGTTTGTCTTAGAAATTGCTCCCCATGCAGCGTCTGTTGTGTTTATTTCTTTAGCTAGCTTTTAATGCTTAAAAGCTAGTTCATGAGTAAAGCAGGTTAATCTCAGAAGTGCCAAGCAATATTTATTTAAAACCTAATCATCATACAGTTCCTTAAGTGAAAAGCAATTATATACTTCCAGTTGAAAAGCAAGAGCAATTCCTATAAGCACCTGTATGTAGCAGCTTAACCATTTACTTAAGTTTTAATAGCCTTACTAGATCCAGTTCACTACAGAGCAGCTTACTGAGGAACAGCACACTGGCTCCCAGCTGCAATCAGTTTTTACTGACTTCTCCAATAAATTAATTTAATTTCTTCATTATACCATTTTAAACATATTTGTTACCCATACTATATTTTAGTTTAGTAAGGAGGGACCTGATCAGAGGATGAAAAACTTAGTGCATCAATTTTTGTCATTTATTGTACTATGGGCTTCCAAAAAAAAAAAATAGCTTACTGTGCTTTGATTCTCCTACAGGTAATATACTACTGATGCTGTAAGGGCTCATGGCAGAGGCAACAAGAATCACTGGCAGTGTGGAAGCAGTTAAACAAGAGCTGTGGCTCCCCAAGGCAAGACAAGAAAGCAGTTTTCCTATTAGTTACAGTTCAATTTGTATTACTTTACTTGATCTGTTAAAATTTAGATATCCTGAAGGGAATGCTAGGATGCTTAGGAAGAAGGCTACTTTTGAGTCTCAAAAGGAATGCATTAGCCTCTGCTAAGATGAACAAAGCAGTGTTTCTTAGTTGAGTTAATGCAAGTGGACAGCAACTTGGATGCGGAGGCTGGTTTCAGGCCAGAAGCGAACCACAGTCGAACAGAAGAGCAGGGGGTCTCAGCTGAGTGCGTTCAACAAGGCTTTTCCTGTCTTCCCAGTACAGAACCAGGTTCCATACGCCTGACTTCCAGTATTTCTGTAAGTACACTGTCAGACTCTCAATGGAAGAATCGAAGAGGGAAGGTTATTTAAACAGCTCCTTGTCTCATGCTCTTCATACACCAATTAGGCAAGAAGCTATTTGACTCCTGGTTCAGAGGTCACTGAAGAAGGAAGCTGAAACACCAGATGTCAAGTGCCAGATACAAAGCAAAAGCCTGAAACTTGTTGTAGCAACAGGTTGCACTCAGCTAGAATAAAGATAGTATTTGCAAGAAAGCTGGGTCAAAGATAGTATCAGGTTTGGAAACTTATATCAAATGTGTAAGTGGTACACTGTGATGGATCAACTTAATCATCTTAAGATAGTCCTCCATGTCTTGTAGTAGTACAAGACTCTAGAAAAAGTTTAAGGCTTTAAAAAAAAAATTCAAAGTAGTTATAAGATGAGGCATTATGGTTGTCAGTCAGAGACTTCTTGTGGCTCCCCAGAGCTGAACTGCTGAATCCATCAATGCATTAAATACCGAGGGCTTTATAATTACAGGACAACTAACATAATGGGGTGTGTGCATGTATGATCAAACCAGTTCCACTAGCAACACATCATACTTAATACAGGATTTGCTTTTTATTGTTCCTTTACGTAGTGTACATGATGGTGTACAAGCTTCAAAGGGCTGTTTAAAAAAAACCCAAACAAATAACTTCTGGCACGCCTCAGGATTACACTGCGTTTACCTTGATTTAGGTGGAAAATGAATCACAGTTCCCAGATTTCAAAGTGAATCTTTCATTCTAAGGGTGTAAGCTTGCCTTATATCTATCAGTTTAATAAGTGGCAGTCTCAGACACATACCCCCTTCCCTAAGAGGACTCAAACACATAAGAAAGACAGAGAAAGCAGTCTTACCATAGGTGAAGCTCTGTTCCTTTGTGTGTTTTGGGGGTTTAAAACATCTTATTGAAATATTTTGATCAATTTGCAGTCCCCTACGAATTTTCCAGGAAGATGCAAACCAAACAGATATTTGGTCTGATGCTGTGCTTGTTTTACTGGAGACTGTTTTTCCTTCCCCACTTCCTTTTCACAAAAGTTTATCCAGCTTCTCTCTCTTCTGCTCAGGACTTGCTATAACTCACTCCAGAAAAGGCCAAAGGTTGGAAACTAAAAATGGAAGAATTTCTCCTGTGCAGTTCTTAACAACAATTGGCTCGGACGGTCTGGAGGAGTAGAAACAAAACCCACAATACAAAATGACACTTGAGAGCTTGACCTTGAACAAGGCTCATATGCTCCAGTTGTTGACTGTATTTGGACAAAAAGCTTCCTCTCACTCCAAACAGTTACAAAACATTCTTTACTGGAGAAAGGTAACTATCTCAATTTCATTAAATGACAATGAAGGACTGGAATGTATTGAGTGGGTCATGGTCCCTGCATGTATAACAGTAGTATAAAGAGAAAGCTGAATCACTGAGAGAAAACAATTGCTTCATTTTACTTAGAAAGCCAGAAAATGGACGTCTAGTTTTTCCCTAATCTACAGTAGCCAGCCAATACCCATTTGCTCACTGAATTCACAACATAGCTGTGACTAGTCCAGAAAAAGGCCAACTTACAATTAAAGAAAGGTTCTCTAAAGCTGTACCTGCTACAACTGTATTTGGAATGTAAGCCTAATGCTTAAGTGCCTTCAAACTAAACCTGAAATAGTCCTGTGATTTGTGTTAGGATACATCTGGTTTGGCCACCTGCATTTGAAGATCCTGCAGGAATGCATCAGCCAAGTTCATGTTTTGGCTAACCAAATCTAACTCAGAAAGCTTGCTATCAAGAAGACACTGTTCTTCACTAGGTGTGTAAATTGGGCATATACTTGATGAACTAAAAGCAAGTAAATGCCAAGGAATGACCTCATCTGTCTGGAACTATCTGGATGAAAGGTGTGGCACCAAGAATTACTTTGAATTTTGGACATCTGCCTTATTTAACCACAGCCAATAGTAAAATTCTGCACCAGCACATTATAGTGCCAATGCAGTGAGTGGATCATTTTGCATTACTTTCACTCATTTGAGGTTACACTTGTTTATGCAAAGTCAAAAATTACCTTTGAAATGTGTTAGAAATTAATCTAGAACACCAAATCCCTTCTAGAACCTTGCAAAGACAGGGTAAGTGGTTTGATAAGACAGGTTTATCAAACTCTTTGTTATCAGTTCACATCTTTAAGAAGACTCCATTGTATCAAGCAAACTGTTTACAAGACTAAGAGTGGAAGTGTTTCAGGCAGTCTCTCCCCTTTGCAGTGATCATATCACATCCATTCCCTGTGACAACAGCAGTTAAAGGAACTATGTAACCACAATTTACTTACAACTAGGCTCCCACACTTGAGAAAAAGCTCAGTTCAGGCAAGTACTGAGTTGTGTATCTACACTGCATTGTAACTAAAAGAAATGCTGGGCGCTTACTGTTTCCTCAAAGGGAAAAAAAAAATGTAAACAATAAGAAATAATGGTGATAGAAACATGCAGTACTACACAGACATATTGAGCTCAGGCAGTGAGACCAGAAGTCAAAGCTACATGGAAACAGGAAAGCTCCAAGACATCAACATGCATCTCTTGGCTTTAGGACACTGTCTGGGCAGCCCAACACAACCTGTTGCACTGAATGAACCACACAGGGTTATTTTTTGGGTTGGTGATGGTTTTTACTCTGCTTGATCTGAGAATATATGTTTGGCCATTAACTAGCTGCTTACCTGTGTGGCAGCTATGTATGTTGGGAAAACTGTGTCTGAATTGTGTCACTTCCACAGACCAGCATCTGGACAGCAATAGCAATCATCTTGGTATACAGCTATACAAGTTATGAGGTGAGAAACTGTGTGAATTCAGTGCTTAGGAGCATACAAAGTTAGAAAATTGGGAAAGCAACCCACACTCACTCTGGTTTTAAATTCCCACTGAGGCATTGCTAGCATAGCCATTATCGTGCAATCCACACCCTAGCTTGTCTACATTAACTAGTTAGAGTGGACAGACCTTGGCAATAAATATGAATTCTTTCCATTTTACTAGAATTTGTGTCTTTTCTCCAGCTATGTGGGATTGAAAAACCAGAAGTTTGTGCCATCATTCCCCATTCTTGAGAAAATAATGATATGAAATTCTCTACACCATCAGATGGACCAGTCAGTCTAACTCAATATCTGAAGTCTTTATAACAGCTATGCTCTTTGGTGTATGCCCACACTACAGTCAAAGAAAATAAGACATGACCAAGAAATAAAAGCTATCATCAATATGCATCAGTTATCTGAAGCTAGAATATGGCTCAGTGGTTTGTGTATTTGTCTGACAGTTAAAAAAATAAGAGAGATTTACCTTTTCACCTTTTACTCCACTGCAATCACATTTGGACAAAGATGTACATCCATGGCAAGCCTTTAAAGACAAGAGAAAAATTAGATATTTTTAGTCAGCGTAAGACTAAATGAAGTCTCTACTGCTATTACAAAATTTAGTCTAAAATGTAAGTGTGCAAAGTTTGTAATCTAGGCATTATGCATGTGTTCAAAGCAGATACAGTTAAGTGAAAATTCAATCACCTTTCGTAATACTTATGCTTGTACGTAAGTATATTACAGTTACAATTTCCCTGGAAATTTTAGACTTAAATTTATGCTTAAACACCATTTTCTCTAGGGCGTGTTACAATGCAACACCTATGGCCAAAGGGGCCAGAACTTCAACAAAAAGAGGCTCTTCAGCACATGCTTCCACACTGAGAGGAGTCCAATTATGGTTCCCACCAGTAGATGTCAGGTTTTGCACAAGAGTTTAAATAAGCCTGAAGCTTATGAGAATAATTTGTAATAGTTATTGGAAAAATACTTACTACACAACTACTTCTTCCCTCCACAGCTCAGTTAAGAAAAAAAAAAAAAATCTCAAAAACCCTCTAGATTTCATCTAGCTTCACTCACACTCTATTACAAAGCATGAGAAGTCAGCTGTAACAGTCTCTAGCACAAGGGGAGTGACAGCCAGATATTAAGGGGTCAGAGGAGGGAGATATGGAATCTTGACTCACAAAGATGATCCAGGTATGGTAACCTTTCCATACCACATTTGCTTAGTTTATATTCTTCCACCCCTGCCTCAACATGGGATATTCATTACAGCCCTGTACTGATTTTGGAGATGAGTAGATGTATTTACAGAAGTGAGATTTCTAGAATAAATGAAAATTTTTTCTAGCATCTCTACACAATACATGTGGTCATCAATTTTCAATACATCTTTCTAGTTAAAAGCCATGACCCACATTAGAAGATATACTACCTGAAATACTTCAAGGTTTAACTTGTTCCAAGAACAGATGTGGCATTGTATTAAAAAAAATACAGCATGTATTTTAAAAGTTTGAAAATCTGAGCATTTGGGGTCCTCCCCCCAAGTAATCTACAGAGAACATTATGTATGAAGTTTCAACCAAGGAGGAAACCAGTTAGCGTGTCAGATCTAAAGTACACCCCCACACTTGAATTCTAGTCTTCATTACCACAGAGGCATTTAGAGACATGACCCATCACCTACCTGGCATTAGGAATGTCCTGGCTCTTAGCCTAAACACACTACCAAGCATCAGACTGAAAACAGAAGCAGCTTAATTCACCTGGAGCTACACAAACCCAGGATCAACTAAAGCATCTTGTAGCACAAGGCTAGCACAACTCAAACCACGAGTTTTAAGTACAGCAGCAGCACTACACGACATGACCAGGGCATCTCTCCAAATCTTCCATTTGGCTTTTGTAATCAGTTTCTTGATTTGATGTACATGAACACTCAAAATTCTTCGATAACAGGGGTTTATCGAGCCATTTCCTAAAGTGAAATTAAACCTTACTAGCCTGTTCAGATTTTCAAATATCAGACTGGACAAAGCCCTGAGTAACGTGGCCCGACCTCATAACTGACCTTATTGGAGCAACACCCTTCTGATGTCCCCCTTCAGTCCAAGTTATCCTGTGAATTTGGTATCAAATCCTTTTCACTTTTAGAAGTGGATTTTAAAAAAGCAAGTTCCTTGTGAACCAGTTTTAGGATTAATCTTGTTAACAAGGCTTCATTTAAAAGGGATTAACCTTAGTTACATGCAATATTCCCTTGCCTCACAGTACAAGCCTAACACAAAGAAATAGCAAGTTACCTAGCTCGCTGTGCAGCAGTGCTGGTTTCTTATTACAAGGATAGCATAGTGAGGGCTACATGAAAATCTTTGCTGCCTCCAAGAGGCAGGGGGAGGAAAAATAAAGTAAATCAGTACTCATTAAAAACTACCAAAAGCTGTGCAGTGATAAAATACACATAGGTGAAAACAGCACACACATGGAAAGCATGGTCAAGATCCTACACAGCATAGGGAGGATTTAGTTAGGTTACGGGACAGAAAAGACTCATTTAGTCTTCCTCACAGCTTTCAGAAAGTGTTTCTAACAGAAATTTCCTGAGTTTTCAGGTACAAGAGAACTATTGGGGTAAACAGAGAGAAAAGGAAGCTGGAGAGGAAAAAAAAATTTGAGACTACATTGCCCCTTCACAAAACAAGTTAAATGTACACAATTTTGTGAAGGCAAGTTTTTAGACAGTGAAACTTGGTCTCTGCCCTTTGCTACTCTATGTCTACAGTAACACTGCAGAAAACTACATTTTTAGTGCTAACACATCTTCAGCGGTGATCCTGTCCACATCAAGACTACACAAAATAGATCCAACTAATGAAGAAAACTGTATCATGGAACATTTTTGTATGGAAGCAATCACTCAAAGCAGGGCAACTTTGGGCAGGTTGCACAGGCCTCTTCAATTGCATGTGGAATAACTACAGTGGTGGAGATCCCACAGCCTCTCTAGGCCCTTGATCTGGTGTCTGTCTTCATGGTAAAGCTTTCCACCCCCCACAAGTATCCCCAGAATTCCCTATCTTGCAACTGGTATCTCTTGTCTCTTACCCTACAGCAGGATGAGCATAGCCTGGCTCCATCTTTGCTACACCCTCCTAAGTAGCAAGACAACAGCTGTAAGATTCAGCCCCTTCCCCGAGTCCTTTTTCTCTCAAGTCCCAGAACTTCCCCATACATCCAGCCTCTCAACTCTAGGTGACCCAAAATGAAGCAGAGAGAAGTGATCTTTAAGTCAGCCTGTTTATTATCAGGGACTTATGCTGATTTTGAAAGAGCTGACAAAGGACCAGCTCTCCTGCATATGCTGGCAATACATAATGGTGGATATGACACTTGATGATAAAGTGTATTCTTCCCTATCCTGTGCCATTAAAAAAATCAGCTTTTCAGATAAGTCTAAATCTTCCCATATAAAGTTTTTGAAGAAAGTACTTTTCTCCCTTACTCTGTTTGTAGTTTAAAGAAAAAAAGTGCTTTGATTTAGTCAATATAGTTGGATTTTTTGTTTTGTCATTTGTTTAGTTTTTGGTGTTTTGTTTTTTTTTTTTTTTTTTTTTTTTTTTTTTAAAAAAATCTGTGACTGTCTTCCAAAGTCATTTATATATTCAGACTGGATTCCTTACACTCTGAGAAGTCTCTTAACGCATACAGTTAACCTGTCTTGAAGAGTCAGGTGTACTCACTGAACGCTTTTTGACAGATTGGTTTTAGATATCCAGTTCAGATACATTACTTGTAGGAAGGGAACGTGGTCTTTCCCAGACAGTGGTGAAGGGAAGCTAAAAAATCTGTAATCAGAAAACTCTTCAAATACCCACTGTAATCAAATGGTAGTAATTTTTGGCTTAAATCCTGGGAAGATCTATTCACCCCACAAGCTTATCAAAAAGTATTCCCTCAGCAGAGTCACTTATCTTCCTGTACAAATGCTGTATTTGGCAGATTGTGTTTCTTATTTGCATCAACTTGTATCCCCACCAAATTAAGTTTGGGTTTGGTTTTTTTTTTTTTTTTTAACCAAACGGTTTGAAGAGAAAAACCCCTGAGAATTTGTACTGTATCAAGATCAATTCGTGCTACTTACGGGTCATGTTGCAGTATAGCACAAAACCCAACATGAAGTAAAACATGTTGGCACTGAAAACAGTTTAATGACCTATTTTAAGTGAAAACTTTCTTCTTGTTTAGACTTTCCAACAATCTCAAGGCCTTTTTTGCTTCGGAAAGCAGGCACAAAAATTGTGCTACAGGAAAATGCATACTGCATAACAAGCTAGTACAAGTTTGAGAGCTACTCAGCAGCTTCTACAGCTAGAGATTTCTGATGTCACAGATTCAGTTCTGTATCTCATATTAACGCAAAGAAAATCTAGGCTCCATACTGTGCATAGAAACACTCGGAATTTCTCCTGCACATGAGCAATAAGTTATCTACATCTCAATTAAGAAAGCAGATACAATGACTAAAACGTTAGATGGTTACGATCAGTAGTTCTCCCTTAGTAACAGCTTAAGCATCACTGGTTCTAAAAAGTAGGTGACTTACTGGGTTTTCAGACACAGAAAATTAAATTAGTCCAAACCTCTGTGGAACTCTGAGTTATATCTGGTACATTTGCTACAGTTTGGGGATCTGAACAAGTCATCTGCCTTGTATTAGGCAGCCAGAAGCCTTCAGTAGTAGTTCAGTTCCCAGCTCTGGCCAGCAGGAAATACTGTCTTATGCAACAGGGAAGATGATAAAAAAAATACTGGATGTAATAGCAAGTTGTGGCTTCATCTTAAGGAGCTGGTCACAATCTCCATACCTATTAAAATCTCTCAGTTTTCAGCTACACAAAGGTGGATAAGGAACTGCAGCAGCTTTTAAGAACAAGACTTAAGCTGCTCAGATTTGCTTCTTCCCTACTGTATTACTGTTGCCTCCCCCCACTCCCCATCACATACCTGTAAAGATGAACTCACTATCATTGCCCTTTCCTTTGCTGTGACTTTTGCATAGCAAGACACAATCAAGGGCTCTAATTAATCTATTCAAGTTTAGCTAATCCTTTCATTGGATTTTCCTGACAGCTTCTACCCCATTGAATCCATGTGTGGAGAGCAAGTTCTTTTCATTAGTATATAAAAGGAGGGATGGTATTGGTTTACTGTTCAAAGGATAATTCTTCCAGAACAAGCTCAGTCTTTTGTGCCTTACATGGACTGAGGAAAACTGCTTTATGCCACCAACAGAATGGGGGCTTTTTTTAGTGTGTTTTTCAGTTTGAAGGAAAAAAAGTATACATTTGAAATCAAAGTCACTTCTTACTCTTGGCAATACGTTTGATACAGTAATGTCAGTGAAATGAATGAGCCTAAATTATCCTCAAAATTTGTTTTGGCTAGAAGCCTGCCTCATGCAGTGAGCATATTCCCCTCTTTTCTCATCAGGCCTAAAGTTGTCTTTTAGGAGGCAATTCCAGCATATTCCAC